GGCTGCTCCTCCTCTGAGGAAGCATTTCCCTGGCTCTGGAAGGCAGGGAATGCTCTGGGAATGCTCACAGGGGCAGCCACTTCTCCGTCACAGAGGGAAGGGCTAAAATTCAGCTCTTCTGCTTCTCTGTCCTGATGGAAAAACATCCCTGGGAGCCAAGGATAAATAGAGGGGGGTGAACACGCCGGTTTGGGCTGGGAGGGGAGGATGGCAGAGGAACTGTGGCGTGTGGGCCCTCGGGGGAAGCAGGAAGGGAGAGCAGTAAATCAAGGACAAGCTCCATGTGCATCTGGCAGAGAAAGGTCCTGCAGGGTGTGTGTGACAGAAATGGCAGAGGCTGCTCAGCATGGAGAGGAGGTTTTGGGACTCGTGGGGATATTCACACTGTTAAAATGTGCATAATGGGGAGGTAGAATGGCAAAAAAAGAAAAGTACAACACAAATGCAGGTGGGTGTTTGTGTGGGGAGAGCACGTTGGGCAGCAGAGGCACTCTGGGGACCTGCATCTTAAGGCATCAATGAGGATCCCCCCTCTGGAATATTGGGTGGGAAGGGGCTGGGTGCACCTGGATACCGCAGGTCAATTCCTCAGCAGCGGATCTGTCAGTGCAAAGATGTGTGAAGAGCAAAGCTGGAGTTGTCTCTAGAACATTCAGAGGATCCAGGTGTTGGTAGGTACACAGGGAGCTCATTTTAAACCTCGAGTGTGAAAAGAGAAAGCTGAATGAGCCTTTCTAAGCCCCCAGGCACCCCGTGAAGGCAGCCAGAGCAGCCCTCCCTCACCAGGGATTTGTCACACGGATGTTGGGGTGCGTGGGAAGGGTGCCTACATCTATTAAATCCAACATCTCGAAACTGGCATTCATTATCCCGTAGGGCTCCTCAGCAAAGCCCTGCTGGTTTCATCCTGGAGGCTGGGGGCTCTGTCCGGGGGCTCGGGGATCACCAGATGATGGTGATGGTGATGGTGATGATGGTGATGGTGATGGTGATGATGGTGATGGTGATGGTGATGATGGTGATGATGGTGATGATGGTGATGGTGATGGTGATGATGGTGATGATGGTGATGATAGTGATGGTGATGGTGATGATGGTGATGATGGTGATGGTGATGGTGATGATGGTGATGATAGTGATGGTGATGGTGATGATGGTGATGATGGTGATGGTGATGGTGATGATGGTGATGATGGTGGCTCGGCTCTGGCCCTGGCAGCCGGGAGGGGCCGGGCTGATGTGCTGGGGATGGCAGAGGAAGCTGCTGCTGTGTGCTGCTGTGGCCGTGCCAGGGAGCCCAGACACGCAGGGCTCTGTTCCCAGTGCCCCGTCCCAGCCTCAGGGACCATGACACTGAGGGATTAGTGGGGGCAGGGTGCTGAAATTATTTTTATCTCCTCGTCTTGTTGTGCCTGTGCACAAGTGCCAGCCTTTTCTGCCTTTTTTTTTTCTTTTTTTTTCCTCCTGTGAAGCAGTAACTGGGTGGGTTGCCATAGCAACCCCCGCATGAGAAGTTGGGCTGCTTCTTGCAGAGATTTCTGTCTCAACAGTCAAGATTTCTCTTTCTTTCAACATTGCATCCCCTTCCCCCTTTCCCCTGGAGTGCCAGTGCCCTCTGTGGTGCCCTGAAGGCCACCCCTGCCCTCCAGCCTCCTCACTGGGGGCACCAGGGCTGGCTCAGGGCAGGAAGGAGCAGCCTGTGCCTCATCCTGGTGTGGGATGGGGTTGGAAGGATCTCTGCTCTCCATCCCCCAGAACTGAAACAGGCTCCCAGTGTGACATCCCAATTATTTGCAAGTTTTCCTGAAGAGGGCAGGGAGGTGTTTGTTGTAGGCACGGGGTGACGCTGGAGTGGTTCCCAGCTAAACCCAGATTGTAGCAAGAGTGAAATGATCTTATCCTTTCCCTCAGCCTCTCTGAGCAAGCCCAGAGAAGTTTGCTCTGAAAACAAAACCCAGCACAGCTTGTGGCAGGTTAAGAAACTGGATGGACTACAGGGGATTCCAAATTCCACTTGGGTCTGTGGTACACGAGGCAGGCTCAAGGTGAAGAATCACAGGTGAAGGAACAACTTCTCCAGAGCTGGGGAAGAGGGTGTGACCTCCTTGACCTGTAACTTTTCATCTCAAAATGCACCCAAATCCAAGGCCAGTTTCTCCAGAGGTTTCCTTCACCTCAGGGCCCCATTTCCCTTCTTTAAATAGCAGCTACAACGCTGGTCTGGAATGAAGTAATTGAGGTTGGTACGTGAGTGATTCTGAGGGAAAACTCATTACTTTTTCAGGATGTTTGTTTGCCACTGTAATTTGGATTGTTTGGCAGGTGGGTTCTGGGGTGCCTGGGTTAGAGGAGAGAAAGGCTTCTGTTTCTGCCTGGGGAGCAGCAGGGAGGAGCAGAAAGGACTGGGGGTCAGTCAGTGACTCTGACTGAGTCAGTGTGGTAGAGCTGCTGCTTCCTCCTAATCCTCTTGGCCCCTGAGTCTCATCCCTGGCTGGATTGTCTGTAATAGATGTAATTAGAGCGGCAGCAGCACAAACAGTGCAGCCCTGCTGATCCCTGCTCTGCGTTCTGGCAGGGCACCTGCCTGCCTGGGAATAGCTCTGATTTCCATGGTGCTTTGTGGAACAGGTGGTTGTCAAACAAGAGAGCCAGGGACATTGTCCAGCAGCTCCTGTGGCTGTAAAAAACCCACCCCCATCACTCATCTGCTGTGCAGGGGATGGATTGTTCCAGAAGGGTTAGGAACAAATCCTTGTGGCTTAACCTGCCCTTCCCTTTGTGCTGTTGTGATGATAACAAGGGGCAATGGGACAAAAGAGATGGCTCAGTGTCCTTCATGCAGCTCTGGGTATCACGTTTGCTGTTCTGTCTTCCCGGGGAGAAAATCAGATTTTAAGATTTCCATATCCATGATGGATGACTTCTAAGGGGGAGATTGGAATTGTGGCGCTGGCATCAGCAACCTGCATGCTCTTGTTCTCCCTGCTCACACCTGCAGGTACATTAAACAGGTTTATTTTCTCTTGGTGGGTTGCTGGAAGAGAGCACAGGAACCCAAGGAAGCCTGGGAGCAGAGGGGACAGTGAGGACAACCTGACAGCCAGAGCATGGCTTTGACCAGTCCCTGCTGGGATACTTCAGGCTGCGAAGGTTTTGGGAATCCCAGTCAGCTGAGGGCTGGAGCAGGGCAGAGCAAGCTGTGCAGTCAGCAGAGTGAGGCAGGAGGGTGTCCTTAGCTGGGAATGACTCGGAGCAGTCACCGGAGCTGTGCAGGGCGTTGTGCAGGCAGCTGCTGTGTGTGGCCGCTGGCAGATGATGAATGCAGCCTGCTGACACAAACACAATTAGGTGATGTCTAGGAAAAGCTCTGGCTTTGTTCTGTGCCTGCTTCACTCCAGCAGTGCAGGGACCTGATCTCTCGTGTGGGTCCCTGTGTCCACCCCTGTGAGGCCACAGAGCTGTGGCAGTGGCCACTGCCAGCGGTGTGTGCCCAGCTGAGAGCCCAGTGTAGCTGAAGCTGATTTTTTCTGCTGGCTGCAAACATCTCTGGGTGGCTCTGGCCACCTGCACGCTGAGTTTTGGCACTGCCAGTCACTCCTGTGTCATTCCCTGGTGGGGCTGCTCGGGTTTAACCCAGCAGATTGTGCTGTGTGTGGAGCTGCAGGTGCTTTAAAAGGAGCACATGTAACAAATGCTTCATTTCCCCCTCTCTGTCCACTGTGACCTTCAAAGCTGGAGGAGCCCTCCAGGGCACATGGCCCCCATCCAAGGAGAGAAAGCCCAGCCTGCTGCTGGCATTAGATTCCCTGGAATCAGGCAGGAACATGAGGCGAGAGGATTTCCCAGTATTTCCCACTGTGACCTTCAGAGCCGTGCAAATGTTAGTATTAAACTTATTAGCAGCAGAGGCCTTTGTGTGACCCCGCAGGGATAACTCCCCCGTTCCCCCCCCGCCCCCTGGCTCTTTTTGGAGGCAGGACAGTGATGCTGATCTGTGGTGCTGATCCGTAGAGACAGGACGAGGAGAGAGGGGTGCAAATGGAAAGAGGGGAAATTCGGATTTTGGGAAGAAATGCTTTGCTGTGAGGGTGGTTCCAGGGCGTCCAGAGAGGTTGTGGCTGCCCTGGACGTGCCGCAAGGTTGGATGTGGTTTGGTGGGAGTTGTCCCCACACATGGCAGGGGGTGGGACTGGCCGAGCTTTAGGGTCTATTCCAACGCCTTAACACTCCGTGATGATGTGATATCCTCTATGTGATGTCTGCAGCCAAGCTGGGCGCTGCCCGCGGGACCACCGGAGCCCCGGGCTGCGTGAGCTGAGCCGGGAGGAGCCCGGCGCGCCCGGGGCCGGGGGAGGCGGCCGCGCATGTGCCGGCCGTGCCCCCCGCCCGGGCTCCTCCAGCATCCTCGGCATCCTCCTCGGCATCCTCCTCGGCATCCTCCTCGGCATCCTCCCCGCCGGGCGCTGCGCTCCGCAGCCCGCGCAACAAAAGCGCCGCGGCCGCGCCCCGCGGAGCCGCTCCCGGCTCGGGGCACCTGCTGCTGCTGCTGCTGCTGCCGCTACGCTGCTGTCTGTCGCTTCTGTTGCTTCTGCTGCTGATCCAACCCTGCTGCCGATCCAGCGCTGCTGCTGATCCAACGCTGCTCCCGCTCCGCTCCGCCCGCGCCCTGCGCAGCGCCGGCCGCGCCCGCGGAGCCCCGGAGCCGGCGGAGCCGTGCGGGCTGGGGCTGTGCTGTGCGGGCTGGGGCTGTGCTGTGCGGGCTGGGGCTGTGCTGTGCGGGCTGGGGCTGTGTGCGGGCTGGGGCTGTGTGCGGGCTCTGTGCGGGCTGGGGCTGTGTGAGGGCTCTGTGCGGGCTCTGTGTAGGTTCGGGCTCTGTCCGTGGTGCTGCCGCCCCCGCGGCCGAGCGCAGCCCCCGGACCGCGCCCGCCGCGGCCGCTCCTCCTGTTGCGCCGGGAGCACGGCGAGAGGGGAAGAGGAGCATCCTGCCGAGGATCCCGAGCTCCGGCCCGCCTGGAACAATGGCTGCGCTGCCGCGGCTGCTCTGCTCGGCCGCGCTCGCCCTGCTGCTCTGGGGTAGGTGCTGTCATTGCCTCTCCCGCCCCAGCGCCTCCGGGGCTTGCCGCTGGGCAGGATGCTGCCGGAGAGAAGGGAGGATGCTCTCTCCGCGCCTGCCCTCCGAGTGGGTTTTTTGTTGTCGGGAGAAGGGGATTTCGGAGTTGGTGTGAGTGTGAGGGAGTGAATGCGAGCGGAGAACACACCGCGGTGCCGAGCACAAAGCGTGTGCCGGGCCCTTACTGTTCGCTCTTGGTCCGGGGTTTGCAGCGTATTTTAACATCGAGTTGCCTCGGGGAGGGTGTGCAGCCCATCAAGCGGTGTTTTAGTGCCGCTTTCCCGTGCACTCCGTGTAAACTGGAGTTAATCAATCGATTGCAACTGCAGTTTGATTCCTGCCACGAGAGGAGGTTGGGTGGTTTTGCCACATTCGATGCGCGTGTGCCTTCAGCCCTGTGAGTGGGTGCCTGTCTGTGCGTACAGATCTCATTTCTCAGAGTAAAGCAGGACCCAGGAGCTTTTCCTTATTTCTCCCTGAAAGCTGCTGCTGTCCGTGGAGCTGGTAGTACAGGAGAATTGGAACCAGGCTGCTTCCAGGAATAGTCCCGGGATAATATGTTGTTTGAGAGAGCGGGTTAATGGTGCCTCAGAGGCTGGGGAGGAGGGAGCAGCCAGCAAAGTCAGCGTCTGGGCTCTGGAGACAGCCTTGGACAGACAGAGCCCGGGATTGTGTAGCCCGGGGACAAATGTCAGCAGGGATTTGGTCAGAGATGTCGTGCTGAAATGATTCTTTTCTGCTCGAGCGTGTGGCATCACATGCCATGATTTCTGTCCTCTTTGCAAGAGCAGTATTTGAGAGTTGCCAGCGTTAGCACAGCTCTGATTGGAAGCGTTTTGAGCAGGAATACCTGGGAAATCAATAACTCCTCCTGCTGCCAAATTCACTCCCCTTGCTTCCCAGTAGTGCCCGTGGAGCCCAGGGACAGGAAGGGTGCTGGACCCTCCCAATTTTGCTGAATTAAAGCATCCAGACCTTCCAACTTAGCACAAAGAGCGAGCTGTTCCTCCACTCTGGAATTCTGGGCTTCCCCCTCATCCCAGACTAATTGCTGCTCTAACAGGAGCATGCCCATCACGCATGGGAGGGAATGAACAATGCCTTTAAAGTGGCATTAATTACCAGGGAAAGATGAAAGTTGTGGCAAGGCAGAGGCTGGAGAGGTGAATCTGTGTGAAGTGATCACCCTCTGTTAATTATTATGAATTATTAATATCTCAGGAGAAGGAAGCTTGGTAGAATTTGACATTTGAGGCTTAATCTGTTTTCAGGCAGCACTAATAATAAATCAAACCATTTTCCATTGGGGACATTAATGCCCAGATGTGAATAACTGATGTTTCTCTAATTCTGTCCTAACACTTCTTTCTCTGCTGCTCCTCTCCCCCAGCTGGATTTTGTTCCTCAGTGTGTGTGGAGGTCCCATCTGAGACAGAGGCTGTCCAAGGGACGGACATGAAGCTGCTCTGCATCTCCTGCATGAAGAGGGAAGAGGTGACGGCCAGCACGGTGGTGGAGTGGTTCTACAAGCCCGATGGGGGAAAGGATGAGCCTGTATGTATGTCTGGGATCTGAGTCCATTTCTTTCCTTGCTTATCCCATTTCCACACCCAGGCACAGCACAAACTCCTGGCAGCAAAAAGCTGGAAGTTGTTGAGTTCGAACATTTGGGTTGTAAATTCATCAATGCTGATTTCCAGTCCCATTCCCTCAATACCTCAAGCCCAGTATCTAAGGATGTCAGATATGACTGACACTTGGTACCCCTGTCTGAATCAGTTCTGAGTCCCAAAGCTGTTCTTTTGGAGGTGAAATTGGCCTCCAACAGATCTGCAGGGCAGGATTTCTTTTTGCCTCAGAGAAAGCAGTGTTATCTCAGCTGGGAGGATCTCTGGGAGCTGCTTTGGATCCCTGTCAGGAAAAGGTAAAATTGATTCTCAGAGTGAATCAAAATGGAAATTGGACAGATGAGGGCCAGCTGGAATTCAAGAGAGAAAGGTGAAGTGAGGAACAAAATAAAGGCTGAGTGCACCCTTCTTTGTAACTGTTTTATCTGAGTCTGAGGCATTAAATCAGTGGCTGTGATTGAGCAGGGCCTGGCAAGATGGCAAATATTCACCTTCTGTGTGAGAACTAAAAGGATCAGGCTAAGGAACAAGATGGGAATTCACTTCCAGTGCCCTGTGGGGGGGTCCATTCACCAGTGGCAACCCAAAGAACACCAACCAAAGTGAGCTGGGGTGGGCAGGGTCGTGCTGGGGACTGTGGTCAGCCAGAATGTCATATTTGTCCTGCAGCACTTCCATCTCAGCTGAATATCCCAGGGCTTCCCAAAAAGGGCAGTTTCTCTTCCGTGGGGATATTCTGTGGTTCTTTCCTCACAGGTGCACTGCTAGGCATGAAGAATCCCAGTTTTATGTTCCATTGCTGGTTTTTCGTGTCCACACACGTCTGTGTTTTGCTGTGCCTTAGTTTTTCTCCCTCTCTGATGGAGATACTGAATTCCTGATCACTCATTTTCCTGTCTTTTGTAAAGTCACCTGATACTTGGAGGCAAAGGAGGATGGAATATGAATAGCTGCTGTTACCAAGGGAGCTCAGAACATCCCTGAGCGCAGCTGGAGGGGGATGCTGTCCCTGGCTCGTGCCGTGGTGTTGTCCGAGGCAGAGATTAACCAGCACACCCTTTACACTTCCTCACAGATCTACGAGTACAGGAAAACAAACCACGAATTTCCCAGCCGCTTCAGCGGGCGGATACAATGGAACGGGAGCAAAGACATGCAGGACGTGTCCATCACCGTGCAGAACGTGACCCTCAACGATTCGGGCATCTACACCTGCAACATCACCCGCGAGTTCGAGTTCGAGATCCACCGGCCCCTCTTCCAGAGCTCCAGGAAGATCCACCTCACCGTGGTGGAGGAGGGTAGGAGCGGCTGCCACAGGCTGTTCTGTGCTGTCACCGGCCGTGGGTGTTGTCACCCGGGGATAGAGTTTGTCACTGCAGGAGAGGGCTCTGGGTTTGTCAGTGACAAACAGGGCTCAGGAGGGAAAACCTGTCCTTTGTTTGATGGCTGGAGGCTCTTTTTAGGCTCGGGTTGGCTGTGTGTGAGGGTGGGAAGGCACGGCGAGCCGGGCACAGCTGGGCACAGCTGGGCACAGCTGGGCAGGCGCCAGCAGAGGTTTCCAGCTCCTCCCGTGGCGGCTCCGGGATGTTACAGCAATGCCTTTCCCAGGGAGCCGCAGCGTTTCTTGCTGCCGCCCCCTCCCTCCTGGAACAACGATTCATTCTCCATTTTGATACCAGCCTCCTCCTTCTCCTCTTCCCTTTGTGCTGCTCCCGAGCCTTTCTGTTCCTCTTGGTGCTGCTGGGTTCAGTGCTGAAATCCCACAGGCCAGCGGGGATCCTGCTGCTCTCAGCCCTTTTTTCTGCCCTTTCTCCTCCCTCTCCCCCACGAGCACCTCGGTGTTTTGAGCCTTTACAAATCACTGGTGGCACAGCAGAGCCAGTGAGTGGGACACGGGGGGAAACAGAGCGTGGAGATGAGCTAGGTGAGCAATCCGTGAGGATGTGGGGGTGGCACAGACAGGGCTGTGCGTGTTGGAGCCCGCTGGAGACACGCACTGCCATCCCTGCCTGTTGCAGGTCCCTCTCTTTGGCCCCCTCACAGCCTAAAGGCACCCGGAGATTCTGGCAGGTTAGGAAGGATGACACAAGGGTGGGAAGTGTCCGTGGAGCTGCATGGAAATGATCAGGGGTTATATTTCATTTTATCCACAGCTGGAGAAGACTTCACCTCTGTCATCTCAGAAATTATGATGTATATTCTGCTGGTCTTCCTCACGCTGTGGCTGCTGATTGAAATGGTCTATTGCTACAGGAAGGTGTCCAAGGCAGAGGAGGCTGCCCAGGAAAACGCGTAAGTGTGGAACCCCTGGAGATGAGATCTGTTCTGCAAGAGCTCTGCCCATGCCCCAGAGCAGACTGCAGGGAGGCTGAACTCTGCTATGGCACGGGCTGCTCCGCGTTTGCTCTGCCCAAAGCCCTTGCAGCGCTCAGGAGCACCAAGATTGTGACCCCACACCAGGTCAGGAGTGAACAGCGCTCCAGGGGGGGTGGTCTGGACCATGTGGAGGTGCTCTCCTGGAAGGTCTGGTTTCATCCTGGCCCATTCCCATCTTTCCACACACTTGGCTGGGATTAGAGCACTCTGTACAGGAAGGCTGGGTGTGTAGGGTTTCAGAGCAGGGAAGTCTTGGTGTTTGCTCCTGCCTAGGCCAAGGAGTTTCCCACTGTGAGCATCTACAGGTGACGTTTGTTACCTCAGAGATGCTCCCAGGCATTCAGCAGAGGTGAGTTTACCCAAACTGGGCTTTACACAGTGTGCTTTCCTCCTTCCCTCCAACTACAGGACAGATTATCTCGCGATTCCATCGGAAAACAAGGAGAACTGTGCTGTGCCTGTGGAGGAGTAGCGGAGAGGAGGCAGCGGAGTGAACGGCACCGAGGTGGGTCATGCACAGGCGCTCACTCCCTGTGTCTGTCCACCCCTCAGCTTCCTTGTGGTGGGGCTGGAGACTCCTGGAGCGTGCCTGTGCTCCTCTGGAGCTTCCCAAGACATACAGGTGTCTTTAGGTGTGGGGTGTACTTGTACTGCTTGAACCCCAAACCAACACAGGCCATGATGTATTATTATATATTTATATATATATATTTATGTATTATGTATATATTTATGCCTTTACCTATTGCTGTGGAGTTGGAGCTCACTTTCCCCTGCACAGGGGCAAGCTGAGGACTGGAAGGGCTCTATCTCCAAAGGAAACACGTTCTAGGAAGGAGTTTAATCTAAATCTAAGGATTAAGTTCTGGATCTTTTACTCTCTCGTTCACCTCCCGTCACTTCCTGCGCTAACTCTGTTGCGATCCTCACTCCTGTGAGGTCCAAGAGGAATTGTCTCCCTTGCAGGGGCTCTCAAGACAGAAGGACCATGCCACGCCAGCCAGGTTTGAGGGGGAGCTCTGCGCCGTCGGGAGGAACACGGGGAAGTGTAAATTCTCTTCCATTTGCCTTGGACTCTGTACAGCCTTGACTTTGGTCCTGTGACCCCATCTGAGCTGCCAGCCCGGTGCTGAAGGACTCTTCTGTGGAAGCATGCTGAGCAAACAGCACAGGGGTGTGGGCAGCACGGCTCCTTCCCGAGTTTCACTTCCATCATCACCTCAATGGCTTTGTAAATGTTACCTGTCACTTCTTAGCTGCTCTCACCACCACCTTTATTTGCTAAATATGCTCCTTCTCCACTGCAGAGGTTAGGGGGATGTACGGCACGTTGCTCTGAGCTGCAGGACTGTGAACAAGGCTCTCTTAGGGGGTTATTCCACCACATTCTGTGGCCAAAGCAGTTTTCTTGGTGTTAAAACAGGAAGAATTTAATTAGTTAATGAAGTCACTTTGAATCTTAGGCTATCTATGCACAAGGAGAGTAGGGTAATGCACTAAAATTGGAAATGTACAGTAGGAAGGACAGGTCTCCGTGCCATGTTCACACTTTCTTCCGGAGGGAATTGAGAACACAGACCCTGAAATATTCCTGCTTTGGGAAGCAGGATGATGTAAGTACAGGAATCCCCTGTGTCCCTCTCGGTGTCCATCCCCATCCCCTCCCACCTGCCTGGCACAGCAGGATTGCTCCTGGAGGACACAGTGGGAGGAGGAACCTGCAGAGCCACGTCCTGCCACAGCAGAGCAAGGTACGGGATCCACCTTTTCCTGGGAAACCCAGCAAGGAAGGCAGCCTCATCGGGCAGGGGAAATAAATAGGATGCAAAGACCTCACAGGATGGCAGCTTAGTAAAATGGTTGCAGTTTTACAACTGTGATGGTTCTCTGGTGCTGTAGCAGCACCATCTAGAGGGATAGACAGAAAACACCCACTTTCCCCACTTAATCCTAATTCTCTCTTGAGGTAATTAATCACCAGTCTAAATAGTCCGGATTCATCCTAAATGATCCTCTGTTGCCCAGGAATCACCCTGGAAATCCCATCTTTCCTTTTCAACTTACCTTTTCTGAGGGTTAAGCAGAGTAAAAATTGTTTCCTACCCTTCAAGGAGACCAGCTGAGCTCAGCAGCTGGGATTAGAAGAGGAGGAAAGGCAGAAACATTGGCCAGGGTGGAATTGTGCTGCAAAACCAGCTGGGGAGGGTTTGTGTTTGTTGTATGGCAGAGCTGTGACATCCCTGCTGCAATGGAGCCTGTGCTGCTTTGCCAGAGTTGACAAATTCTGCTCCACTGACCGCTTGTACGCGATCCCAAAGTGCTCGTGACTCCAGGCATGCTCCCCACCCACGGAATCCCCTCTGCTTCCTTCTGCTGCTTTTTACTTGTTCGCTAAAATCACGGAAATTACCCCATTGGGAAGTCGGGCCCAGGCCAGATTTCCAACTGGCACTTGTTCAAAACCCTTTTTTCAGAGTGGGTGTCAACTTTAGTAAACTACTCCAGTGCAGTGTTGGTAGTAGGATTGCTCCCAAATCCAGAGCCAAGCCTGGCAAGGGGAGCTCATTTTCCAGATGAAGCACACTCAATAGTCTGGGCACCAGTTCCCAAAAACCTGATATCCAAAAGAATATCCAAGCAGCTCCTCTTTGGATTCAGCTGGATATCATCTTTTTCCCTGTCCCAGTTTGCCTGGCAGAATCCTGAACTCAACAGAGGGACTGGGTTGTTAACTCTGGAGTTTCCAGCACTGCCCACAGCATTGAGCCCAGGGGGAATTTCAGGACACCTCCCTCCCACTTCAGCTCATTCCCTGTGAACCACGGAAACGCTCTGATGTTACTGTTAAATCAAAAAGGGAGTGAACCCGAGAACTTCTTGAGAGCTACCTCAGGTGGCAAAGGAGGGCTGTCCCCTTGTCCTGCACCTCCCCGTATCCCACAGGCATCTTCTGCAGACCCTCATTTTTTTTTGGGCAAATCTTCCGCTTTTCCAGTTCCTGCAGACAGAGGTGACCATTGCCACGTGGTGCTCCTAGCGGGAGGAAACGGGGTGCAAAGTTCTGCTCAAGAATCTCACAGGGGAAAAAAGAATAATAATTTAAAAATTGGTGATTTTTTCAAGACCTGGAAGAGATGGTCCTGGCAAAGACTCTGTGTGTGTGTGTTTGGAATGAGAGGAGACTCCGGAACAGGCAGGATAATAAAAAGAACAAAGAGCCACGCTGGTTGTTGGATAGATTTTTTAATTGATACTGTACTTCCATGGTACTAACTACTTACAGGGAGTTTGGCTGCAGAGCCTGTACAATTCCTACATTCCAGCACGTCTGTTCCAGTATCGTTTTTTAACCGCAGGTTGAGTTTTTTTTTGTGTTTTTTGCGCACAGCGCAAAGTTTCTGACAGTCGGGACAACTCCTAAAACAAGCGCAAAATCCTTCCCCCACCCACCCCAGAGTCACCTCAGCCATCAGCCCCCTGCTTCCCGGGCTCTGGAGGGGATTCCAGGAGGGAAGCACGTGCCTGTGGTGGTGGTAGGACCCGCTCCTGCGCCGAGGAGAGCAGAGCCTCGTTCATCATCAGCTGTGCACAGGGATTACAGGATCCGGGTGGGCAGAACACGCCCCAGGGGATTAGCAGCTTTCTCCAGCCCTGGAGCACGTGGTGGGAGAGGAGATCCCACTGGAATGGAGATGTCCCAGAGGTGCCAGGCCAGGCCAGGCCGCTCGGGGGAGGTTGTGACGCTGCCACTGCTCTGCTGCTCTTCCCTCCCTCCGCGTCCAGCCCGGAGCCAGGCGGGTGCCTCCATCCCTGCTCTCCAAGGACCATTTCCCGGGAGCTGGGAATGCGGGGATGGCGTGGCACAGGCTCCACCTCTCTGCTGGATGGAGCTGGAACAGCTGCTCTCCCAAATCCTAATTCCAGCAGGGATGCCAGCACGCGGCTCCAGAAGCGGAGCTGCACGTCGGGGTTTGTTCCCTACCTACGCTCGGGGTTTGGGTCAGGGAAGGTGGCCTTTAACGTTAGCAATGGAATTGGCCTAAATGAGTGAGGTAACAGAAACGGCCAGAGGAGGAACCCCCCCCGAGCCATGTGCAAATATAATTCCTTCAGCAGAAGGAAGTCTTTTTCCCTACTGAAAAAAATAAAATAAAATAAAAATAAACCAAAACACATTCACTTGAAGAGCATACAGACTGCAGGAGGGGAAGGCAGGCAGGGACAGCACCAGGTCAGACCATCTATGACACAGGTAATGATTGTCCAGCAGCAGAGGTGGGAGGGGACAGGGAAAAGCCATAGCAAGCACTGCAAAACGTGTGGGAGAGGAGGAGGACGTGGCATGCCACGGATCCATGCTGAGAGAAGCCCATGCTGTCTGCCTAGATCAGGGAATGGCCTTGGCCAGCAGTCGCCCAAGACACGAGATTATTTGGCCAGTGTGCACATCTAGAAAAAAAGAGGTTTTATGGCACAGAGAGACTCGTGCTGGAGAGACTGCAAAGCACAGAGATCAGAGCAGGCTGGAAAACCAGCACAGGAACCACACAGGTGTTCTGTGAGCCACTTCCCTCGGGGGCTTTGGTTCCAGAGCCTCTGCTGTGAGCTGTGTTTGAAGCAAGCCCCTGCCAGGTGTTGTAAGTGGTGCTGAGACTGAACAGACGGAGCCAGAGCCCAGGGGGCTGTGCCATGGACCGTGGCAGCCTGGCACAGACCCCGTGGGAGCCCCTGGGAGCCGAGCAGGCGCTGCAGAAAGCACTCATCTGTCAAGAGCTGGGGGTGGCAGCAGCTGCCTGGGCAGACAGGGCAGAGCTGCCTCCCCTGGGCCAGGCACTGCTGCTTCAAACAGTGACTTTGAGACTGATTTTCTGCGTAATGTGGAACCAGACAGTTCCAGCTGCAAATCAGGAGTTTGTTTCTGTGCTCGTGGGGAAGAGCAGCTGCTGCAGCACAGCAGAGCAAATCCAAAAGGTCTCAAGTACCCAGACCAAAAGTGTTTCCAGCCACTCTCTGGAAAAAAAAAACAACAACTTCTACCTTCTTGCATAAAAGTAAGAAAAAACTCCTATGTGGCTACCAGGACAGTGCTGAGGAGCCAAGGAGGCTGAAAAGTCTGTCCTTACCTACACCCAGGTGAGCTGGAACTGTCTGACAGGGACATGGATTAGCATTCCAGGACCAGCATTCCTAGAGGAGATCTCCCAACACATGCCCTGTTATTTCAGAGGCAGTTTTGTGCCCTCAGGGCTCCAAATCCAGCAAAGCCTTGTGCTTTGAAACCTTTCCTCTTCCAATCCAGGCTCACATTACACTAGAGATGTTTCCTGTCCCTAAGGTTTCTGCTTTTAAGATCAGAAGCATCCAGGCAGGGTCAGGTGTCAGCCAGCAGGCAGGGACAGCAGCCAGAGGTGTAAATGCAGCCTCTGTCACAGCAGAGCAGGCAGCTCAGGGGAGATCAAAGTCATGAACCTTCCTTCTCTTCTCCCAAAGGACTCGAGGGAGCCAGGAAGGCTTTAGACAGCAGTCAGTATCAGTTAGTATGAGTTAATAGCACAGTTTTCTGACTGGAGAGTGCCTGAAGTGCAGAGCACCCAAAAAAGTTCATTATCCTGTTAACCCACAGCCAACTCCTTCCCACTGCAAGTGCCTTTCTGTCTTTTATTTTCCCATATTTACTATCTGGAATGTGCAGGCCCAGCAGTGCCCCTGCCTTGGGCAGCTCACCACCTGGAATAACCTGGTTTTTGGTCCTTCAGAGACTTTACAGGCAGCTGCTGCTGTAGAAACCTCTGGTATCCACCCTGGGAATGCCTGGTTGCACAGCAGGACTCGAATCCCCTCATCCCAGCTGCCAGAACTGCTCTAAGATAAGCCCTGGAAGGTGTGTGTTTATCAGAGGTGAGGCTCTGCCACGCTAAGATCAGTGAGGATGTCACAAACTGGTGGATCAGAGCCTCCTGCTCCCTCTCCTCCCAACAGGAAGCATTTTCCTTGGCAGGAATTAAGCTACAAGCTGGCATTACCTCTGCATGCTTGGCTGGAGAAATGCCTTAAAAAAAAATAAGAAATTCCCTGGTTTTTTTGTGTTTGTTCAGATCCTGTAAATAAAACCCCAGCAGATGTGCAGGTGGAAGGCTCAGACTGGGAGGGAAAATGCACCTGCTGTGAAAAGAACCCAGGGGAATTTCTGGCCCAGGTGAGCAAAGGGGGAAGGAAAACCCTGATGGTGGAAGCCAGGCTTGGCTGTGAGTGCTGAGGGAAGCACCACCCTCTGAAACATTACTCAGGCCTCTCACTCCTAGAAAGTGTTACTGATCCTTCCAGGAAATGTAATCCAAAATTGTCTCTGGAAGGAATTAGTCTGTCAGCTGGGACTGGTCAGGGGCAGCTGATTTCTATCCCAGCTCTCCAGAGGAAGTGAAAACACTCCAAGTTTTTGTTTAAACCCTCACCCTTAGTGCCTTAAGACCTTGTTTTTCCCCTTTTTATTACTACTGTGAGACTAAGAGGCAAAAAAAAAAAGATTGTGAATCCCATCCAACTCCAAGCCAGACTGGCTGCCAAGTGGGAAAAGGAAGTAACTAGAAAAAAACCAAAACCCTAAAGAGAAACCTCCCTGGGTGTGAAGGACACTGCAGCACCAGGCTCTGCTCGGTGCCCACTACCCTTGAGCTCTTCCTGAAGGATTTCACACTGTTGAGTGTCAGGAAAGGTGTCAAACAGGTTAAAAACCCACCTTAATGTGCAGGGAGGACAAATATTGGACAGGTAGGACAAATTATTAGACAAATATCTCAACAAATATTAGTGTTGAGATTGCTACAGCTGCCTGGCCTGACACGGATTTAACAGTTTGTGTAGTTCTGTCTCTGGGGCCCAGCCTGAGGGAACAGCCCGAGCCTGAAGCTGGAAATCTGCACAGGAGAAAGGATTCAGGATGAGAAAAAGGATTCCTTGCCTCCCTAACAGAGAGAATGTGATATTGGTGAGCAACAAATACAGACCAGCAGCATTTATCTGTGACCCTCTCTGATTTCTCTGTCTCCAGGTGCAGGAGACCCCACATTCCAGGCTCCTCTTTCACAGTGAGCTCTTTCTCTTTCCTGGCATGGGCAGGGTGAATCCCAGGGCTTCCTCTGTGTCCTCCTGATTGGTGCTTGAAATAAAATTCTGGAAGAGGGAAATTCCAGCAGCAGGGGAATTTTGTGTGCTTAGTAATTGTGGGACTAACTAAGAGGGGAAAAGGGACTCTGGGACAGTTTGGCAAGTCACAGTGGAGAAAATGAGCCACAGAAAGCCTTTCCCAGGCCCTAGCACCTCAATTTCATGGTACAGCAGCCATTTCAGCAGCCTCCCTGGAAAAAAGTCAGGGAGCAGTACAGTAGTCAGCAGCATTAAATTAAATAAATAGTCATAAATACACATTACTCTCTGTTTTTCCCCAACTGGACCTTGCTTTCACAGTCTGAAATGTCCTTTTGATAGCCTGGCTTCATCCATGCTCCTGCACACGTGTGGGGCATGTGTTTAGCACTTGGTCATGCAGGTTGGGAGAAAGCAGCAGGTTATTCCTGCATCCATTGCCCTTCCCTGCTTGGAAAGTGGGACCTTGAGGTTTTCCTCAGACTGTACTGAGGATATTCTGTGCTACAGAATGGTGAGAGACAAATTATTCATCCTGGGGGCAATGGAGGAGCTACAACTTCCCATTTCCATTTCCAAACTGAGAATGTGCAGCTGCCTCCCTCCTGCCAGCCAGAAGGTGGAAAAATCCCAGTGTTGGACAGAGTGGGACCCACATTCCCCTCATCTGCCTGGCTGGGGAAGAGGCCAAAGCATTTATCAAACACTTCAAGAAGCAGCCTGCATCCCCACCAGTCCCTGTGGAGTTTGTGCATTGCACAGCACAGCCAAGCTGCTCCTCTTCCTCATCTGGCTGCTAATGGAGCCTGGAATCATCCCCCAGAAGAACTGAAAATGCACACTGGCTTTGTTTTTAGTGCAGCTCTGCCACCTGGCTGCACTAAACCCAGCTGGTGGGAGACACCCCTCAGGTGCCTGACTCTGAAGGGCCCTTCTCCCTTTCCTCCCTTGGTCCCTGTGACCCTTCCTGACCTCTCCTGGATTTCTGGAAGCCTGGTTGCTCTAGAGATGCAGTCATGTAAATACCCACAGTGATGGCTGCTGCTGCATAGATGCAATTATGTAAATCTACCCCAGGCAAGGAAAGGAAGCTGCTGTTTCTCCCCCTGTTTTCCCACAGATTTTACAAGACAAGGCCTGGGTGAACAAACAGGAGAAGAGATTTGCTGAGCTGGGTAGTGGGAGTGGCTGCAAATCAATCCTAATTTTGGTTCTCTGTTTAAATTTGGGTCCTCCCACCGCGGTGACTCCAGCAGCGATGCAGACCCGCAGGGATGGCTCAGGGGCAGGGGCCCAAGCACAGGGAAAGCAGAGAACAGGTAAAGGGAACACTGTCACAGGTGTGGCTCTCCCCCTCCCACACACTCCCCTCGCTCTCACTGCAGGAGCCAGGACAGGAGGCAGCAAATCGGGGTTTGTGGGAGGGATTGCAGCTCGGTCACGCTCTGTGCTTTGCTCTCTGAGCCAGCCTGGCCGCCCTGACAGCAAATTTCTGCTCCCAGGAGGGGCCTGACAGGGGCATCTGCCCTCCACAGACCCACAGCAACTCCCCCTCCTCTCCAGAGCGGTTCTGCAAGGGACTGACTGCGATTGCCAAAACCCCCTGAAGCCAGCAAGGTAAGGGAGGTGACAGTGTCCCCTTTGAGAGATAAACAGAGCCACCCAGGGACCTCCATGAGCAGGGAGGGCACAGGGACGGGCAGGGGGGGCACTCACACCGATGCTTCCCTTTGAGACAACAGAAACAGAACAGACAGACAGACAGACAGACAGGAATATTACAGAGGAGCCGTGCAGGGGCCCAGGGAGCAGAGCTGGGCACGGCCCTAAGCACACCTCAGTGCTGGGAGAGCACAGCCCTCCCACACACACCCCCACGCTCCCAGGGACGCTCCAGTTCAGCCAGTGTTGGAGATCACTCCTTCCCCTCTTTAGGCTTTTTTTTTTTTGCTTTTTTTTTTTTCTCTTAAAATCTGTATATAATATATATATTTATATCTGTATATATATATATATATATATATATTTATATATATATTTATATATCCTATTTACACATATTGCACACCGTCCTCTGGCCTCCTGCATTCCTGCCTGTTAATGGAAACGTTTCCGTTTCTCCTCTGGATCTGACCCAAAGTCCCGGGAGCCGATGCCATTCTGGAGATTTATTAGTGAATCCTTCATCTGAAAGACAAGAGATTTCTCCACTGTGGTGCTGCCCTAGAGGGGAGAACTTGGGGATTCCCTTTTTCCCTGTGAAATATTGATGGCATCGTTGTGGTTTTGGGAGTCAGGGCTGGGATGTGCGAATGGGAATGTGGGGCACCAAGGAAAAGGGGTGAGCAGAGCACAGGGAGTTCTCTCTCCTTAGGGAGCTCACATTTAGGGACTTATGGGGAAGCAGCTCTCATTTCTGGACTGTGCTCTCAGCAGCTCTTTTGTGCTTTTTAGGGAGCACACCCTGAAATTCCTGGCTTTGTGCTACGAGAGCGTGTCCCCCTCCTCCCTGAAAGCTGCAGCAAATCCAGGGTTCAGCCAAAACCAGTTTGCTCCCCAAGCTGGGATGACAGAGATTAGATACCAAATGTGCCAATGTAAGATTTTCAGCCCTGTAGGGTTCTCTCCTTGGTGTGCCTGGACCCCTCTGATGGCAGAGAGCAGCCCTGGCACCCTGTGACAGCCCTTGTGGTGCCACCACCAGCAGGGGAGGACCTAAAGGAGCTGGCACAGCTGAGGGGCCGTGGTGGAGGCAGGAGATGCTGAAGGATGGGGAGCAGGACAGTGACACCCTGGTCACAGCCCTGCCTGGAGCTGTGCAGGCTCACCTGGTCCAGAAGCATCACCGAGGATTTGATGATCTCGCGCCATTTCTGCAGCTCTGAGTCGTGGTACTTCTGCTGGGACTCCAGCAACTGGGCCCATTCTGTCTGAGACTGGGGTAACCTGCCAGAAAAACACAGGCAAGAGTCATAAAACCCCATCCTTCGTACAGAGATCTCTCTTTATTGTGAGGAACAGCTGCACTGGCTCTTTTTTCCAAGCCTTTCCCTTCAGCCCCATTTAAACCCCCAACACGGAAGTGAGGGGAGTGGAATCAGGACAGATGGGAGCATTCCAGGGGCTTGGATGAATTCAGATGCTTCCACAGCACCCGTGGCTGCAACATAAAAATTACCCATGTGGAGCCACCCACATAATTCCAGCGCTTGCACATCACACTGTGCAAACAGGACATAAGTTCTGTACTTAAACGTTATTGTAGTAATCTAAATAAGCACCAGAGAAAGATAAAATCACCTGAAGTATTTATAATCATTTAAAGTATCTATCCATGGGGAAGCAGCAGGGCTGGTACAGGGAAGGTAATTCCCCTTCCTAATGAGGAGAAATGACACAAATGGAGCAAAAAAACTCTAATGCAGTGGTAGCACATGGCTGTGAATGCTTGAAGTTAAACCCAGTGTAGCAAGGGAGCGACTGGGACTCCAAAAAAGGGACACAAAGGGGACAAAAACACCTCAGAAAAGTGGATGAAGGATGTTTTCAGCATCTAAAAATAGACCAGAGACCATTCAGGCAGGACATGCTGCTGATATCTGGACCCACACCTTTCAAAACAAACCTAACAGCCCAAATTCTCCTGAGTACAAAGGGATCATTCTAAGGGGCTGTTCCCATAGAGAGGGAAGTTTGTCCATCCAAGGAGGGGAAGGGACCACCTCATCCCAAAATCGCTGAACATTTATTTCTTCACAGAGCATCCTCTGCAGCCTTAACTCTGCAGCTGCAGGGGAAATGCACAGGGCCCCTCAGCTCCACATCTTTTACACCAAAGTGAGAGCCCAGAGCTCTGGTGTGACGGGAAAGCCTCTGACATCCAGGAGAAAGGAGGAGAGCCCCGGCAGGTGTGGCTGTACCTCTCCTGCAGCCTCAGGCCCTGCCACGCCGTGAGCGTCTGCGTGGTGTACTCCAACATCCAGAGCTTGTAGAACAGCATCATGTTGAGAATGACCAGCAGCACCAGACTGCAAAGGAAGCAGGAAAAGAGCCAGTGTAGGAGCATTTCACAGCCCACTGCTCGCCAGGAACACCTGGGACAACAGCCAGGCCTTCAGGAAGGTGTCTGAGGGCCAGTCCATGCTGTGAGTGGGGATTTAATCGGAGTGAGCAACCAAAACTTCACCTCGTGGAAGAAATGCGTGAGCCAGGAGGACAGAGACAGACAGACAGACAGGGGTGACAGCTCAGACAGAACAGGCTGGGTGAGTGGATGCACTGAATGCAGAGAAAGGGAGGGAAATGGGAGAGTAAAGAGGTAAAAAAAGAGAGACACTACCTGAAACAGATCCTAATGGGAGCAGGGAAGAGAAAAGACGGAGCAGCTGCAGGTTAGAAACGGACTGACACAAACTGGGCTGAGAGGAAGAGGCTCAGACACTGCAGGAGGTACAGGGGGCAGGAAGAAAGGAGCAGAGGGAAGAGAGGCAGGAAGGACAGACAGGATCCATGTGCCTGCACTGCTGGTGAAGTTCCCTCACCACAGCTGAGCTCCTGGGGACGGCAGGTGGCCATGCAGGCGCTGCCTGACACACACACACACACAGAGTTCACATCCAGCCTTCCCCATTCCCACCCCTGGCACTGGGAACACACCCCAGCCATGCCCTGACCAGCTCCTCTTGATGCCTTCAGTTCTATCTTTCACAGTTTCCAGGTTGTGCACTGGTCCCTAACTCTGAACTCCACACAAAGTGTCAGCGAGTTCTCCTCACAGCTCAGGCACACACAACAATCCTTCCCCAGCCCCACAACCAAGGGCAGCGCTGCAGCTCCAGGCCCAAAAAGCACAAGCAGCAGGGAATTGAGGAGAGCAATCTGGGAGGATGGGACTGCATCACCTGCAGCTGCAATTGCACAATTCACCCCGAGATGGAAATGGACCAGAACTGATCCAAGGGTGAAACTCCTGAGCCGGGGCCCATCTTGGGTGGAGCCACGGCCGGGCTCTTGCAGTGCCCAGGGTGATCCTTGGAAGAGCTTTTAATAAATCCCTGCTTTATTCCTTTAACTCTGGCCAGCCTCTGCTCCAGGAGCCTCTCCAGGCATCACTCTCACCCCTCACCACACAGGGGCATTTCTGCTCCTCCCCAGGAAGAGATTCCAAAACACCAGGCTGGTGCCTGGCTCTGAATAGTGCAGTTATTTGGCTGGAAGAATGGTCCACTATGGCCAGCTCAGTCAGGCGGATGGCAACTGGCCAGAGGAATAATCTGGAAACATCACAGAGGGTTCTGTGACCCAAGTGAAGCTCTCAGGAGACCTTGGAACAAAGCTTTGGTACCTTCGTGCTACATTCTCATCATGACAGTACCTTACTGCACCTCATTTGTCACTGGCTGGGTGCTGCTGCAAACCTCTGCTTCTGTGCCCCCTCTGGCACCAGGAAACACAAAAGGAGCTCAGCTGGAGCTGTAATTTCAGCACTGAAACCCCAGCTCCTCCCCACCTCTCTAAAAGCCAGGTGCAGCTTAAGGAAAAGCTGGGCCCAAGTCTGAAAAGCCTGGATCACTGTTTTAGTCTGTTCTGCTCCACAGCACGAAATGAAGCCTGCCCTCAGCCCAAGGGCAGAGGAACAGTAAAAACAGTGAGTTCAGGTATTAAAATGAGCCACAGGGACATGAGAGGCTGATTCCCAGCTCACTTGGAGAGCACATCCCAGCCCAAGACCACCGATCCTGAAAGGTGTGGCAGGAAAGAACCCCAAACCAAACAGTTTGTGCTGCTGAAATCACACCAATCTCTCGTGCCTCAGGTGTTTTCTTTACTGACTGTGCAGAAATCATCTCTGAAGGGCCCAGCTGCTTTCTGGCTGTACCTCTCATCAAAATCACTGCCCAGTTTTTCTGTGTGTCACTAAAAATCTGTAAACTGCATCCCTGAAGTAAAAAAATAAAAGATAAAATGATTCTACTTGTTGGATTCCTCCTCTTGTAGGTATTGACTCCTCTCCTCTTGCACAGCTGCCTCGGTCCTGATTGTCCCTGTCCCAGACAGGTCCCAGATCTGCCTTTAGGGACTCCCAGAACAGATCTGCAAAGCCCATGTTTGGCTAAAACAAGGGCAAAACCACAGGGAGAGGAGAGAAGGGAGCACAGAACTCCAGGAACACAGATAAACCAAAGGTGTTCAATGCTGACTGGGAAGGAAAGCAGAAAAAGTCATCACTTACACAAAGCTGATGACAAGGAGCAGCTTGGAGACACTCTGCAGGTGGAAGCCGCTGGGGCTCTCCTCAGGGATGTGCCGTGTCTGAGTGGAACCTGAGGAGATGAGAAGAATTTGGGATGGGAAACAGGGAAAGGCAAGCCCCAATCCTTTCCCCCCTACCTTCACCTCACCCAAACACCCCCAACACATCACAGCCCCTGTGTGACAAAGCCCCTGTTTGTCCCCTCAAGGCTGTGGGGTTTGCAGCTGCTCACCTGCCACGTGCTTGATTCGATGGGCAACCTCCTCATCCGTGGGGGTGGTGACGGGGCTGAGCACCTCCTCCAGGTGTGGCACCCGCAGGTGGGCGTGGGCGCGTTTCCGCCGGCGCACCGTGGATTGCTTGCTCACCTTCTCTTTGGGGGATTGTCTGTGCACCTCAGCCAGGTACGTGCTCTCTGTTTTGGTCAGCTCGCTCTCTGCAGCACCAAGGGGGAGCGTTAAGAGGTGGGGTTTTGAAGAGGGAGAGAGGTTTAACCCCTCTGCTGTGATGCTTTAGGATTTCAGCTTTTCTGTTTCTCACACATTTGTAATCCTGCCATTCCTCAGTGTGTGACTCCAAACTCCACACACACTGGGAGCTGCTGCTTCCCCACTTTGGGCAGACACAACAATTCCTCTCCAGGCCTGGCAATCAAGGACACCTCACTGCCTCAGGCCCCAGAGATGGAAACAAAAGGGAGTTGGGGGCAGCAAACTTGGGGGAAATTCCTTCATTCCCTGAAGCTGGAATTGGGAGATGAACCCCAATGTGCAAATGGAACAAACTTAGAAAAGCGTGAAACCCATGACCCATGGTCCATTTTGGGTGCAGCCCCTGGGGGGCTTTGTCTGCCCTAAAGTCACCTGAATGCCCTTCAATAAATAAAACTGCTTTTTATCCCCTTAATTTTGTCTGGCCTCTGTTTTTAGGTAGCCCAAAAAGGCACCAGCTGGGCCAAAGAGGCTGGCAGAGTTTGAGAGATTTGTGCTCCACATTACTCACAAATTTTATTAAAATTTGACCTTCAACTGCCTGGCAGGGAGCAGGATCTGATGCCCTGATTAATTCCAGCAGGTATTCTGGCTGTGGTAGCCCCTTTCCTAAGCCACCAGAAGGCTGGATCCTGCTGCCCACTCCCAGGGAAGCACGAGTGCCACTGTCACTGCCACTCTTACCCAAATGACGGAAATAATCTTCCAGGCCGCTCCAAAAATTCTTCTCAATGAAGGATTTCACCAGCCCCCAAGGCTGTTTTCTGTAGCGTAATTCTGTGGAAACCCTGTGAGGAGAAAAAAGGTCAGTCATTCCCCTGGGTTTGCTTCCTAGGGGTGATGTCAATTCACAGTTTTTGTCAGTGTAAATCCGGGAAATAATCGTGTCCACTGTTATTTCTGGAATGGTCTCAGCCCTTGACGTGTCCAGAGGAGAAGCACTGCTGGAAAAGTCCTTGCAAAGGCAGGAAGGGCCTCTCCCAAGAGAACTCCACGACCATTTGGATTATCATTATTGAAGTCACACGGATACAGCTTTGCCCAGTACCCAATTCCTCTGCTTCTGCCCCCAAAGCACAGCCCCAGGAAGTTTATCCTGTTGCTTATCACAGCCTGCAGTGATAACAGGCTCTGCAAACCCCTGCACCCAAGAGAGAGGCACGAAAAATCTGTAAATCCTCTCCCTGATGCAGCTCTGCATTGATGCCAACCCAGCAGGTGAAAATCCTGCCCCTACTCTTCCTGAGAGCAACATCCCAGCAACAGGACAAAGAAACAACCCCTTCAACCCCTCCTAACACACCCAAACAGCAAAACCCCCTCCCCAGGGTGCCTTTTGCTCATCAGGAACTCCCCAGGAGAGGTACCTGAGTCGGCTTTTGTTCCTGGCAACACGAGTCAACGTGTAGCGGTTAATGGTGTAGAAATAATCGTGGTAGGGGACGTCGTGGGTTAGCACCTCTGCATCTATGACATAGCACTCGCTCTCCTGGCTGGCTTTGTACATTGTCTGCAGGAAAAACAGCGTGCAAGGCAACTCTGAGCGTGGCTAGGACACAAGTGGCACCTTCAGCAGCGCTTTGTGAACAGGAGACACCCCTGTGGCCCAGCCCTGCCCCTGCAGCTCTGCTGTGAGCAGCTCACCCCGAAGGGAAGGCAGAGGAAAGCAAGGGTTTCACCCAGATGCTTCTGTTTTAAAAGGGCACTCAGTTCCAGCCTCCAGGATTTTGTGTCAGAGGTGTTACACACCACGTGGGGAGACCTTCCCAAGTGGGACCTCCTCGGCTTGTCAGGGACCCACCTGAGCTAAAATCAGAGGTTTTAGAGTAAATTCCAGCTAATAAATCTTCTAGCATGAATTATTCTGTGATTCTAAACACCATAAAAACACATAATTTTGTTCTTTTAAGAGCTGCTGATGTGCTTTTCCCTTTGATCCAGAGCAAACCCCACCCAGCGGACAGACAGACAGACACAGAGAGTGTGCTGTTCCCTTTGCTCTCCCTTTTCCTTTCTGTTCCCTGCACCTTTCCTTCTCTCCAGCACCTTTCCTCACACCCTCACAAGTCCCACCTTGCTGCTGGCATCCTCCTCTCTGAAATGGGTGCTCAGAGCCCTTTTCCTGGCTCCCTCTTAGCAATCCCTAAAGCTCACTCTCAGTATTTCCCCTTGGCCACATCTCTGGATGTGGAAAGAGGCTTTTCCTCCCTCTCCTGCTGCAGGTCCTGCTGGATACAGCCAGCCTGGCTCCTCCCAGTGCACTGCAGATTTTCCCTTTTTTGCCTTTCTAAACAGATCCTCTCACTGTCCTCACCACAGTAAAAAATCCACAACACCCTGCAGAGCTGTGAGGAGGACTGGTCAGGCAGTACCTGACTTCCTTGAGTAGTATCTGCTGGGCTGAGCACAGCTCAAAAAACACCAGTTTGGGCGAGAAAAACATTGTTAAGATGTGCTGCCTTGCTCACAAACTCAGCTGCTTCTGCTGGGGAATTTGTGGTGCTTCCATTGCAAGCGTAAGATTAACTATTCATGGCTGCAGTGGTACTGGGCAGCAAGTTAAATCAAGGAAAAGTGAACAGGAAAATGGACAGGGACGATGAAAACACGCTCAGGACAAGAAAAGAACTCTCAGAGCAGTTTCTGCAAGCACCCCAGCCCTGCTCCACTGTCCCTTACCTGAGTTTCAGTGACTGTGGCAGTTTTGGGGGCCAGAGGGTTGGTGAGGGTGATGGTGTACAGGATCACTCTGGTCTGATTGCCATTTTCCTCCTTCTTCCAGGGGTGAAAGATAATGTCTGAGAGGACAAAACAACATTCCAGTCAAGTAACTGGGGAGGGATCTGTGGTCAGTCCCCTGGGGAAAGGGATAACCATATAACCAAGCTGGGGATGGGATTTCCTTCCCTTTGGGGAGCCTGGCTGCTCTAGAGCTCAATGTGAAACTAAGGGCTCCTGTGCTAAATGTGAATATTTTCCCCTTTTTCAAGTGCAGGGCAAGGGGGAGAAGCTGGGGATTCATCTCCTCCAGCAAATCTACAGTTAGAGGGAAAGGAAGACTCTGACATGCCAAGGGGCTCTCTCTGCAGCTCTGTCCATGCCATTTCAGGTGTGGAGCTGGAAGAGCTTCTGTTCAGTTCAAACAGTTCAAAACTGTTAAGTTTTGAACAGAGGATCAGGCCTTAGGTGATGATAAAAAATAAGAAAATCAGCTTTTTTTCCATTAAAAAAGCTGTTCCAGCTGTTAGAGAATGAAACCAGATGGGCACACAGCTCCTGCCTGCTTTTGGTTACCGCCAGCACGGGGCACGCTGTCCCAAAATGTGCTCAGAATGTCACCTGAGCAGAACAAATTTCACCTCCACAGCCCCTGTGGCAGCTCCAGCAGCAGCAGCAGCTCACCAGAGAAGCGGCGCTGCTCCATGAAGTCCCTCTGGAACTGGGAATCAGTGAAGAGCAGGTCGTAGAGCTTGTCCACGCTGAAGTTGAACACCTCGTTCACGTACTGGCGGCCGTTCAGGTCCTCGTAAAACGCCTGGACTTCCCCTGTGGGGAAAGAGACCCTCAAGGTCCAGCCACAACCCTCCAGGATGATGAAAAATGTGCTTCCACAGCACCAGGACCTCAGTATTTCCAAAGGAACCTACAGGAGGGACTTCAACCCTTTTCCTGCACTGATCCCAGGGCACGAGTTGGGACATCAGAAGGGATAATTAATTACACAGCTTATTTTAGGGACATAATGATGCCTTAAGTTTTAGCTTTCATATTTCTCAGATTCTGCCCAGCCCAGTGTGCAGCTCTGAGCCTCACATGAGGTGTCAGTGAGCTCTCTTCACAGAGTGGGCAGACAAAACAATTCATTTTCCAGCTCGATACCAAGGACAATCGTTACAAGTTCCAGGCCCAAAAGCAGGAACAGCGCTGGGCTGGAGAGAGAAAACAAGAAGGGTGGGACTCCATAACCTGCAGCTGGGACTGGACAATTCACCCCAATATGCAGATGGACCAAAACTTATAAAAATGTGAGATCTCGTGACCAATCATCCATTTTGTGACCATTTTTAGGTCCATCTTGGGTGCAGCCCTGGCCAGGCTCTTGTAGTGCCCAAGGTGTGTCCTTTAGGGCCTTTCAATAAATCCCTGCTTTATCCTGAAATCTGTCCAGCCTCTGCCCTAGCTCAGCCTTCCCCAGGCATCAATCCTATAACTTTTAGGCACATCCTAAAATTTAAGCACATTCACTTTCTGCAGCCCACAGTGGGAATTCTTTGCATCTTCAGGGTGCAGGAAAGGATTTCAGTAGTGACCATTCCCTCCCAGGGAGGGATGGGATAAGGCTGGAAATGGCCCTGATGGAATTCCCCAGGTACCTTCATCGTGGGTGTCTGAGGAGTCACTGAGCTCAGTGGGAATGTCTTCGTTGTCATTGAAGTCCAGGGAGGGGGAGTTCACAGGGCCAATGATGTCGATCTTCTCTCCCATGATGTTGGCAATGCCAAGGTCTTTCTCCACAGGACTCTCTGCCACTGCCTCCTCCTCTTCTGGGAGCACTCCATCGAACTGCAGCAAGGACAGGGCACAACAAGGGCAAGATCAGCACCTGGAAATGGGCTTTATTGCAAAAAAACCACACATCTGTGAGCCAATTTCTGAATATTTGGCCTTGACATATCTGGAAATTAAACAGAGAGAGGAGGACAATTGCCATACAGTGTTTGTAAAACCTCCCCTCAAAAAATCAGTGTTCAAGCTTTGGACACCACCAGGGTTTTTGCTCAGACAAGCACAATATTGTCCAACCCTGCTTTTGCTCCTGAACAGGCTAAAACAACCAGAGGAAACATCTGAACAAGGCCTGCTCTGCCATAACTCCAGGAGGGTACACACTGGGAATAACCAGTGGAATATTCCAGGAATAACCACTGGGAATATTCCAGGGAATAACTGAAGGCAGAGAAGAAATTATAACACTTTAATGTCCAAGACTTTTCACCCAGAAGTATAGAAAGAAAAATGTTCTTGCTGCTGAGAGTCCCAGTGACAAAAGGACTGAAATCAGCAGCAGCGGAAGAGGAGCTGGAGAACGAACAGACCTCCCACCATCCACTGCTGGATTTCAGGGAAAACAAATTCCTGCTGCCAGGGGAGGGAGAAAACTCACGGAGGCTGGGGCTTCACTGCTGCCTGTGGAGGTCAGGGTGCTGGCAGTGACAGATTTCTTTGGCAGCTGAGGGCTGGCTTCTGGCTTGGCCTCCATGCTGCTCTTGGAGGAGCTGTCGTTGACTTCATTCTCCTCCACGGGGATTTCTTCGCAGTAGCTGGGACGCCACAGAGAACACAGGTTTTTATGGTTACCCCTCTCACAACAGCTACAGCTGGACACACAGAGCAAGTGAGAATGTTTCTATGAAGTTTCCAGGCTGTCCAGAAGCTCAGTGCAGGAGAAAGCAAGCCCCAGTTTTCTGGGTGTTTACACAAGGGCTGACAAGCATCAGCGGTTTCTGGCCACGCAGCTCTGCCTGGCCTCGTGACTTTGGCATTTCTAGAACTGCTCAGCTGGCTCAGCACTCATTTCAGTCCCTCCCAGCTTCCATGAGGAAACGCTCCCCTTCCAGCTCTTTAGGCCCCACACACTCCAGAGCAGCCAGCTGCCAGGATGTGTGAGGGCAAGCAGCACTCGGAGGGGTTCAGCTCATCCTGCATCCCGCAGCTCCCTCCAGGCACAGCTCAGCCCTCCCCACTCACCCCATGGTGTTGAAGTCATCATCAGGAGGCACGTAGTCTTCATCATCACTGGTGAGCCCCAGCTCGTTCCCATAGCACTGGTGGACAAAGTGCCAGAGCTCCTTTGGGCACAGAGGCTGCAGCAGGGGACACACAACATCACACGTTTGCAGCCAACAATACCAAAATACAGCGAAATTACCATTGCTAAAGGATGTTCCTTGCCCTGAAAGGAGAAGGGAGAGATTCTGATCCTTGAGGTGAGAGCCCTTCCGTGGGCTCAGCTCTGTGAAATTCCATTTCATGGAGTTTATCATTATTTATCTGTAATTACATATTTTTTTCCTAAATATATATATATTCATACATCTATATATTATATATTAAACATATTTATAGATAGATATATATTCTATATAACAGATATATTTATATATTAATATATTTTATATTGTATGTATATGCATAATATATAATATATAAAAAATATAGAATATATTTTATATATAATAATCATATATATTTAAATACATATTTAAGTAAGTTATAAATGTATATAGAAGAGATAATATATATTGTATGTATTTATATATAAAATATAAATATATATTATAAATTCCATAAAGATATATTATTTTTATTATAGAATAAATATGCAATCATATGCTTTTATTATTATTATATTATATCTTATATCTTATATATTTATATTATATATTGTATTTTTATATTATATATTAAATATTATATATGTACATTATATACTATGTATTATATCATGTATATTATATATTATATATATTATATATATTATTAATGATAATGATAATGATATAATAAGAATAATGATAATGATAATGATAATGATAATGATAATTATATAATGATAATGATAATAATAATAATAATAATAATAATAATAATAATAATAATAATAATAGTAATAATAATTTAATCTCTGAGCTAGAGATGATGCCCCCATTGAGCACAAACAGGCCCTGTCACAAATAATCCTCCACCATCAGCCCAGGTTCTGCCCCAAATTCTGACACTTTGATTTTCCCATGCCACAGCCTCCTGTTACTTACAAAAATATCAGCAAGCTACAGCCAGAGCAGCACATGGATGAGAATTCCCACTGCTGGAATGCACTAATGGAAACCCTAAACCTGCATTTCCCTTCACAGATACTTTTCCCACCTCTTCTGCTGTGCCTCCATTTAAAATCTGCTGCTCCACCAACCCCAAAACCTTATGAGGTTTTTTTTTTGTCCCCTCCCTTCAGCTTTGTTTAAATTAAAGCTGCCTGAAGAATCCCAGCTGCAGGGAAAATGATCTAAAACAGCAATGAAAAAAAACCACATTTCCCGCTGCAGTTTGGGATCAAAAGGAGTTTGTGTCACCAGACACCCCTATGAAAAGTGAAAAAAGTGAAAAAGAGAAAATTAATTATCCAGACCATTGAGAAAAGCCCAGATTTTAGGGATGTGGGTCAGGGATCACCACATGATTCTGACATGAGGCTCTGGAAAATGGGGCAGGAAAACTTGTGATTTAAAGATGCAGTACAGGGATGAAAGGGGATTTTTACCCATAAGAAACTTATGACCAATGACAAAGATTTCTTGGTAATGAGGGGAAACAGATCCAGTGAACTTTTTCTGAGTTGCTGGCTTGAATTTCTTCCCATAGTAACTGCATGGGATAAGGCAGGAATTTTTTCATCTAGCTCCCCACAGCAGGAACTGAAAGCATGGGGAAAAAAAGCCTCTAATGAGGAATTTTCATCCAGAAAAATCTGTCTGTTCCACCTCCTTCCCACACACATTAACTCACATCCATGTCTTATCAGGAAAACTGCACTCAGCTCTTTCCTCCCTCTTCCTGCCAGCCAGGGATCCCACACTTGGAAAAAAGAGCTCTGGAAGTGTTTCCTGTGTTTATCTCTGTCTCAGCTCCCATTTGCCTTGACCTTGAGACCAAGGGCACTGAATTTCCTTGGGAACTTCCAAAGGGCTGCTCAGGTTACAGCCGGTGGAACAACACAGCCTGCCCCAGGCAAGGTGATCCTTTCTCCTCCTAAATCCTGCCCCGATTTAAGGACAGGCTGTTCCTGCTGCCTCATTCCCCCAGCCTGCTCTGAATTCCAGCCAGGCCACCCCGAGGTGCTGTAACATCAGGTTTGCTGCAGCAGGGAGGCCAGAAATACCCTCCCCACCGTGGAACAGATACTCGGATCAAATACAGGATTTCCAGGGCCTCTGGCGCAGCAGGAGCAGATTTATTTTAAAATCCAACCCACTGAGCCCTCAGCCAGTGCACTTTGCACCCACAGCTGCTCCCACTTGGATTTGGGATGCCTTGAACTCTCATTTTCTGTCCTGTCTGGACACCCCACACTTCTGGAGCTCTGATTTGCTGAGAGCTCTGCCTGCACAGTGAGTTACTCCTGCTGCTTTTTGAACTGCTTTCTTGAGGGCTGCTCCACTGTGGAATTGCAAACTTCAAAAAAAAAACTTCCCTCCTGAGACCTTGATTCCTCAACAGAGGCAGAGTGGCACCCACTGTGCATGACTTACCCCCGAAAATGGGTGATTTACCCCAGAAAATGGGTGATTTACCCCAGAAAACAGGTGATTGACCCCAGCAAAAAATTCTCTGCAAAAAGAGGGAATTGCATCTGCAGTCCTGAGCCTGCTCTGCCTAAACACTTGTGTTTAATGTCCCTACTCCCTAAACACTTGTGTTTGGTGTCCCTGGGTGTTTTTTTTCAGTCAGAAGTGATGCTCCTGCCCATATCCATCACCACCCTTCCGTCCCAGCCCAGCCCTGGGGTTTCTCTCTGTACCTTGTCAAGCAGAGCATTCTGCCAGAGTCTGAACATCATCATGTACGTCCTGTCTCGAGCCCCAAAGGAAGTAAAAAAGTGCTGGATGGGGAGAGAGGGAGAGAAAAATCAGCTCAGAAAAAGCCAGAAAATAGGAGAAGAACACAACAAGGCTGTTTGGGGTCACTTTCCAGCTGGAGTAAGCCATCCATGCAGCACAGAGTGAAGCTCATGGAGAGGCCAGAGGCTCTCACCAGGGACTGAGCACTGACACAGCCCTGACAGAGACATGCTGCTGGAAAACCTGGATATTTTACCTGGCCCCCACATCCGAGCTCCAGCCTCAGCCCAGCTCAGCACAAGCCCTTTTCCCAGTTTGGAAAAACCGCCCCCCACACACTCCCAGCCACACAGGGGTGGAGGTGGAGGTACCTTTTCAGTGTCAGTGCAAACTTGGATGGCGTTGGGAATGAGCCGTGCTGTCTTCTCCTTGGTCATGGAGCAGATGTCCTTCAAGCGAACTGTCAGCTGCAGCAGGGAGGGAGAACACCAGGAAAGGGAGGAACTGGTGAGAGAGGCAGCAGGAAAAGCCCTTCCAAAGCAAACCTGAGCACGATGCCAGGTTTAGGGCAGCAGAGGAAGAGCCTCACCAGTGTTTCCCAGCGGAAGATGTTGCTGTAGAAGCAGATCCAGTTCTCGGAGAGGTAGAGGCGGCCCTGCAGGAGAATGTCTCGCTGGAGAGCACATGAGTAATCTGTGGGAGCACAGCACGTGGTCAGTGAGGAGCACAAACAGCACAAAATGCAACTGATGCCTTAAGACTTTTGCCTGTTTATTTTTCAAATCCTGTGCTGAGCTAGTGGATAACTCTAAACTCCATATAAAGTGTGAGTGCTGTCCACACATCTGGGTCAGACAAAACAATTCCTCTGGGCCTGGAACTCAAGGACACCCAACAGCCTCGGGCCCCAAAATGTATAAACAAAAGTGAACTGGGAGGAGCAAACTGGGGGTGTATGACTTCATTATCTGATGCTGTAACTGGAGAATTAACCCCTGATATGTAAAAGGAACAAATTTGTAATTGTGTGAAAAACTTGTGACCATTGTCCAGCCTGGGTGCAGCCCCTTGGGGAGGCTTTGTCTGCCCTTAATGTACCTGAAAGCCCTTCATTAAATACATCCACTTAATAATTAAATGCTTTCAACTTTGGCCTCTGTTCCTAGGTAAGCCTGAGAAAGGGCATCAGGACAGCTGGAAGGTGAGGATGAGCAGCAGCATCAAGAGAAACCACTCAACACAGCCAGGCAGAGGCAGGGCCAGCCCCAGCTGCTGCTGTTTCCTTCAAGGACATGTCACAGACAATCTCTCCCCCTGACTGCTGATCCTGCCTCATCAGCTGGCCACTCTGCAGCATCCCACCTGCTATTTCCAGATTTAATCTGTCTTTTCCTTTCTGTCACTGTGCATTCCCCCCCGCCCCAGTTCAAGCGTCCCAAACGATTTCTGGGGCACAGGAGGGGATCACCAGTCATGGAAGACACAGGAGCAGCTGTGAGGGGAGGTTTGGGAAGGGCAGTCATGTGTGAGCAGGGATGTTGGGAAAAGGGAGGAAAAAGGGAAAGGAAAAAATCCCATCATTCCCCACCAAATGAGGAAAACCCATCATAAAATGCAAAATCCACTGGAAATGGGGCTGTGCCTGGGCTTCAGGCAGACAAAACAGGTTTGTTGTCAGTGGCAGTGTCTGGAGAACGAAAGGAAGGAGGGACTTCACAAACTGTGGGGTCTGCTGGGAGACAAAACGAGCACTGAGAGATAAAAGAAACAACAGGAAGGATCCCACTGATTGATGACAGGAATGAGGGATTTGTCTTTGCAAACAAACTGTGGGTCTGCTGATGAACAGAACTGGATACTGAAAGATGAAAGGAACAATGGGAAGAACAAAAAATTCCGGATGAATTCCATTGACTGACACAAGGAAAAGAAAAGGGGGGGTACACATTAGAAGGGGTTTGTATTGGGTGATTTGGGAAGTGTGTACCTCTCAAATACCTCAGCAAATGGGTGAAGAGAGGGAAATGTGGCTGGGAAATTGGGATAAAAAGGAGGCTGAATCCTCCAAAAATCTGAGTGACGCCACAGGAAACGCCCCATGGCCTCTCCCTTTATTCCAATGAAGTTACAGCTCCTCTGTCTCCTTTCTGGACACAACCCTCTGGTGTTTGTGGATGAATTTTCCCGCCAGCAATGAAAACATGGATGGATCTGTGCTGCTCTCCTGCCCAGAGCACGGCAGCTGGCCTTACCTACGATGAGGCGCTCCGTGTCCGGGAGCTGCTTGAAGAGTTTCCTGAAATCCTCGTTCCGCTGCTTGTACGTGGGGCTCAGCACCTGCAGACAGAAGGGGCCTGGTGAGGAGAGGGGCAGCCAGGGGAGCCGGGGCACGGAGTGGGAGAGACGGGAACACCTCGGGTGCGGGAGGAGAAGGGGGTCAGAGGCGCTTACAGAGAGCCAGGAGCTCCCACCACAGCCCAGCCATGGGATGGTTTGGGTTTAGTGCAGGCAGGAGAGGAAGAGGAGAACCTGACTTGGAAGAGCAAGTCCAGGCTAGAAAGGCTGCAGCCCTGCCTGCAGAAGCAGAGGAATTCTCTCTGCCTGCAGCCCTACGCTGACGAGGTATGAGGTGTGCTCTGCTGGCATCAAACACCTGGCAGCCCCCAGGAACGGCACAGCTAGCCCAGAAAACAGGGGGTTCACCCCAGAAAAGGCAGGATTCACCCCAGAAAAGGCAGGATTCACCCCAGAAAAGGGGTGATTTACCCCAGAAAAGGGGTGATTCAGCACAGAAAATGGGTGATTTACCCCAGAAAAGGCGTGATTCAGCACAGAAAATAGGTGATTTACCCCAGAAAAGGGGTGATTTACCCCAGAAAAGGGGTGATTCAGCACAGAAAATGGGGGATTTGCCCCAGAAAAGGGGTGATTCAGCACAGAAAATGGGGGATTTGCCCCAGAAAAGGGGTGATTCAGCACAGAAAATGGGTTACCACAGAAAACAGGGGGTTCACCCCAGAAAATGGGTGATTCACCCCAGAAAAGGGGTGATTAACCACAGAAAAGGGGTGATTTCCCCCAGAAAATGGGGGATTTGGCCCTGCCAGAGGAGCTTGAGCACCCACTGTCACCGAGAGCTCAGGATTCCCCATTCCCACTCCTCTCCCCACCAGGCAAACACAGCCCCGTGTTCTCTCAGGGTCTGAACACTTCAGTGGGGCTCCAAAAATGCTCTCCCAGGGACTGAACCATGTCCTGCACTCGTTTTGTGTCCTGGCCTCGGGAAAGGGCTCAGGGAACACGGGGCTGTTGGCTGGAGGGAGATCTGGCTCCTCTCTGGGGTTCATGATGTGACTGTCCACACCTCCTACACCCCGTGCCAGCTCCTCCCGACAGCCACACCACCTTCAGAACAGAGGCAGCTGCAAATTCACATCTCCCAGAGAATCTGCAATGTTCCTTCTCCCACAAATGCGGAGAAGGCGGCACCTGGGGTACAACCTTTTCCCTCTTTATCCAACAATCCTGCTCCAGAGGCACTGATCTCCTAGGGCAGAAGGCTGGGAGTCTTCCAGCAAGGGCCCCAAAAATCTGAGATTAGAGAAGGCAGTTTCTGCTTCACAACGGCGGTGGAGTCACAGGGGTGGGAGGAATGCTGAGTTTATTTAGAATTAGCCTCACAGCGCTGCCAAATGCTGTCAGATGGCGGCAGATTTGATGTTGGTTGTCAAATCACAGACAACCCCTCGCCCCCAGGAGCATTCCCTGCTCCTCACAGCGACTCAGTGGACTGGAAACAGAATATTCCAACGTCAGCTCGGCACTTCCGAGCCTTGCTCCAGCCCCGTGGGCCCAGAGGAAGGGATCTCACTCCGAGTAAAACCTGCCAACCAGCAGATGACAGAAATATCAATTTAACTTACCAAACTCCCAGCCTGAACATCTGGAAAAGATCTTGGACTGAGATGGGCTCCAGCAAGAGCCCAAGGCCAAGATTTCCAGGAACAAGCAGCCCGGACGGGGAAAGGGGATTATAACCCCTGCAGGGCTGAGCTCTGGGCTCAGTGCAGCCCCGCTCAGCAGAAACCAAGACCTGTCCTAGCAGAGGCTCTGCTCAGCCCCAGCAGCTCTGCCAGGGTGCAAACAGCTCTGTTCAGAGACACTCACAGCGGGGATTTCATCAGATCCAGGGCTGGTATTTCCTCGAGAGAAGTCCACAAGTCCCTCCAGGTCCCACCGCAGCCACGGCAGCTCTTGATCCAGGAACAGATCCCAGAGGGAGCCGCACTCCAGCAGGGAATCCATCTCCTCCCCTCAGCACTGGCACAGCTCCCCGTGTCCACTCAAACTCTGCTTTTCCTGCTCCTTGTTCGTGGCCAAAGAGCTGCAGCAGCCTGGCAGGAGTTTAGGTGCCTTCCCCTGCTTTCCTGCCCACATCCAGCTCGTCTGAGGCAGCCCCTGAGGATCTGAGCGAGGATTTACCCTCCAGAGGACTTTTCCCAAAGAGGTTCATGGGGGTGATGGTGCTGGCAGGCACCCTCTGTGCTGTCCTGCTGCAGCCTCAGCAGCTCCTGGCTGTGGGCATCCCCTGCAGGAGCAGGGCAGGTGTGTGCAGGTGTGTCCCCAGGCAGTGCCCAGCAGAGCAGGACCCAGCCCCGAGCGGCTCCGGACCCGCTGCGACTCACGCGGCTTCCAGGACCCGGCGGGAAGGCAAACAGCTCCGAGCTCGGCTTCTCCCCCTCTTGGGGAGCAGAAAAGCGGCGATTCTGACTCCTCAGTGCCCACCCCGGGCTCTGCCCTGCAGTCCCTCTCTGCTCTCGGTGCTTCTCATGGAAGGGGAAGATCCCAAAATGACTCGCGCACGCTTGGAGTTCCTGGAGCTGGGGAATTCTGGCGGCCAATGCCCTGCAGTAACCCAGCCCTGCCTCCCAGCAGATGTTTCCTGTAATGGAAAGTTGCTGGACAGAGTGTGCTGGGGGAGGCGTGAGGGGAGCCAGGAGACACCGGGATGGGGGCCCCTGTCCCCGCCATCCTCAGCGCAGACTTTGCTCTCCCAAACACAGCTGGGAAGGACTGGGCTCCCATTGATCTGCCCACACTGACTGGGACAGCAAATATTTCTAATATTATAATATTTAGAAAAATATTAGGTATTTCTAATATCCTAATATTTAGAAAAATATTAGGTATTTCTAATATTCTAATATTTAGAAAAATACTAGGTTTTTATAATATTAAGAAGCACCTGAAAGAGACAATTGGTGTCTTTTCACTGCTCAGGTCAGTTAAAAGAAGAAGAAAAGTACCCAGGCACGTGATAGATAAAAATAAAGGATGTGGCAGGGAGGAACCAGCCATGGGAGACCCAGACAGGCAGAAATCTGAGGGGCTGCACCACTCCTGGGTGCATCTCTGAGCCCACTCTTCTCAAAGAGTGTCTCTTCTCAAAGAACAGTGTTTTCCAGGATTCATTCATTAGTCAGGATACTTTGGAAATGAAGGGATTCCTCCAGGGAATGAACTTCCTGCAGGTCCAGGAGATTGTTTGGGGTGCTGGCACTCCCTGTGCCCCCCTGCTCTGAGTGCCAGCCTCTCCAGCTCCCTGCCCAGGTGTGGAGGTGCCCAGGTAAATGCCCACAGCAGGGCACTTACAGAACATAACACATATAAAATAACACCAGATCTGCTCAGCTGTGAGCAAACACTGAAATAAACCCCTGGTTCTTCCAGAACTGGGCACACAGGTCTCAAAAAAGCACCAAGCAACCAAGGCAGCCCCTGCAGAGGCTCCAGGCCAGGGCTGCACTCTGCTCACTGACAAGCTCTGCCAGTTTGGCAGACCCCCAAAACCATCGCTGCTGCTAGGGAGCACAGAGGAGTCTCCAGTCAGCACTGTATCCATCTGCACCCCAAGGTGAGGAAATAGCTAAAAATAAACCTTTCTGTAGCCTGTGAAGGACAAAGAGTTGGCATTACAGCCACCTGCACTGCTTTGCTGGATGCCCCTCTTGGCTGGGAACTCTAAATGGGATTGAATTAAGGAAAAAACCCACCCCCAGCCACCTGCCTTTGCAGAGATGAGGGCCAGTGATGGGAATTCTTCGAAGTGAGGAATTCCCAGTGATGGGAAGAGCTGACCTGGAGCTGGAGGCAGCAAACATTAACTCCTTGTTAATAACATTAACAAACATTAACTCCACTGCAAACAGGGACAGGACAGCAGTGCCAAGGTGGGGGAATTGCTCCGTGGGGAAATGGGGACACAAGGGCCACTCCCCAGGGTGACATTTCCCTGTTCCACACAAACGAATCCCCCACGGGAATCTTAAAGCAAACATTGCTGGAGGATGGGACAGGACAGGGAAGTCTGAGAACACAAAACCTGAGGAATGTTGAGTTTTGGACAGCACAGAAAGCAGGGAACAGAGATGGCAGGAGCCACAGGGGAGAGGGGAAAGGAAAACCTCATCTAATTTTCAGGACTGATGGACTTTTATGATATATGTTGCTTCTGGAAAACCACTGGAATAAACAGAACACGTTCCCTGCTTGTGTGGGAGAGTTTAGACCCCGCTGACAGCAGGGCTGACAGGAAAAACCAGCAAAGAAAGTGGCCACCTGTCCAACAGCACCTCCTCTAAAGCCATTCTGGTTGCTCAGATTTTCCATCTTTTTCCTTTTTCTCCCTTTAAAAGTGAATGAAAAGAAGAGGAAGATGCTTCAAAGTAATCACTGGCCATCTGGGCTGGAAAACGGATCTGAGTTCATCATCACACGAGCTTGCACCAAAAGCTCACTGCTAATTCAGTGCCTCTAGAACCCAGCAACTCAGCCAGGCTGGGAATCCACACGCTGAGGTCATGGAAAATCTGACAGGATGAAAAGTTCCTGCAAGGCAGGGAGTTAACATTGCTGCAGAAATAATTTGATGGAATGGTTACTGGGAGTTAAAAGATGATTGTGCTTAATTACAGAGAAAAGGGCTCTTCAACACCTTGCTCACTCCTCAGGACTGGATTTTTGCATTAAACTCCATTCACGTGGTTGCTGCTGCTGGGGGAGGCTCAGCCTGACACCCCTGGGAAAGGTGTTCCTGATGTTCCCCTAAAAACACCATCATGCTCCTGATGATCCCCGAAAACAAGGCATAATTCCCCTCTGCCTTTATAGGGAATGTTTTACTCCTTCCAGCAGCTGAATTTCCTCTCCACTGTGGTACCCACGAGGTCTCCAGGAAAAACCCAGCACTGTGAGACCAGCCAGGGCTGATTTCTTATCAGTCTTGTGATGTCTGGTCATTCTTCAGAAGCTCAAGAGCTGCTCAGAGTTCCCACAAAGGCCCTTTGCAGCATCACCCTCCACCACAGATCCTCAGCCAGCTCCTCCTGCACAGCCTTTCCCTGCTCTTTTCCCAAAGGAAAACCCTGGGCTCTCCCCTTTACCTGCCTCCCCACTGGCATTTTGGGTTTGTTTTTGAGACTCTGAGCTCCTGCCAGCCTGAGGGCTGCCCTCTGTGCAGAAATTTGTTTGCAGAGCTGCAGGAGCTGGGTTCCTGTCCCTGTCCCTGCAATCCTCAGCGCAGACTTTGCTCTCCCAAACACAGCTGGGAAGGACTGGGCTCCTATTGATCTGCCCACACTGACTGGGACAGCAAATATTTCTAATATTTCAATATTTAGGAGCACCTGAAAGAGACAATTGGTGTCTTTTCACTGCTCAGGTCAGTTACAGGAAGAAGAAAAATATTCAGGTGTGTCATAGATAAAAATAAAGGAATACAGAACAAGGCAGACCTTGGGATGTAAACGCTGAAGTGGAAACCTCATGGATTTAAATCTCACCTCTATCCCTGTGTTTCCTCTAAATTTCAAGACCATCTTATTCATTCTCTTTTCCAGAGCGTCCTCTGGATTCTCTTGGTGCCTGGTGCTGAATTTAAGAAGCAAGCCTTGCTACAGAGCAGCAGAAATGCTGCAGGATATTGAGACACACACCCTAATTTAGGAACAGGGAAGTAGAAAATTCACAGCCCAAGTGAGACAGAATGAGGCAGGAAAACCATGGCAGATCTGCCAGTCTCAGGGCCCCAACTGGGACACGGAAATGAGAGATTCCCACGCTCAGAAATGGGGCCCTTTGCCCAAAACCCAGAGAAAAGAAGGAGAGAGATTTTATCCCTGGCAGCAAAATATCTCCAGTATGTCTCTCATTTTAATGACATCTGCAGGGTGACAAATGCCTTCTCCCAAGTGTTACTGACACCCCACAGACAGAGCAATTCCTCCTTGGTGTCCTCAGGGAAGCCAAACACAAATTTCCCAACCTCTCCGAGCAACTCGGGTACAGAGTAAGGCACATCTCTGCTTCAGCAAACAAAACGACAAAGGAAGTTCAGTTTTAAGGTCTGAGGTCTATTTTTGTAAATTATTTTAAAATAATAAATTCATTAACATTAATTCACCATGCAGACACGCAACACAACTGATGGCTAAACCACAAGTGACCAACAGATCTTTTCCCCCCTAAAAACCACAATATTCCCAAGCCAAAGTCTCCATGTACACAATTCCTCACTAAAGGCATGAGAAGCACCTCAGGGATTTTTCCTTTCCACTGGAAAGCTCTTCCACCACGATGACAAGAACACAAAGCAAACCCCAAAAAGTCTGAGTGCATTTATTCCCAAACTGGGGTTCTCTTCTCAATCTCACAGTGCACCTGCACCAGAGTTTGCATTTGTCCTCTGCAAAGCCAAGCAGAGAAAGCACAACCAGAGAGAGGGGCAGGTCTGCCAAACCAATCCATGACCTCACTTCACCCCTTTCCTCCCAATTCTCCACGGGGCAGGGATGGCAATCCCAAAAAAAGCACTGGTGGGATCAAATGGAGAACACACAAGGCAGGAGAAGCTGGTGGCAGCTTAAGGAAAAAAAAAAAATAGAGAAAAAGGAGTCCAGGAGAGGGGAAAGGGAGGGTTCCAACTGGCAAAGAGGAATGCAGTGCTCCAGAGACAAGAAGACCAGTTAAAAGCAGCAAAAAAATGAAGAAAAACTGGTGATGCACTGCAAATCTTTGAGGGCCATGTGCTCTCTGAGGCAGGGATTGTTTTTTGGGCTGGGTTTGCACAGTGCCTGGCACACAGAACAGTGTGGAGGGTGTTTGCTCTGGGCACGGTGGGGTTTGTGTAAAATGGGAGTGGGGGGAAGCCAGCAAAGGGAATTGTGAGGTTTCATGAAGAGGCAGATTCATTTCTAGAGCTGCTCCCAGAGGGGAGGGGAATGGAGGAATCAGAATGGTCCAAATGGAAGAGAAACCCTGCCTGGAAGGAGCTGGCAAAGGGCAGCTCTATCAAAGAGATGCATTAGCAAATTTTTTAGGGAAATAACACTGCCAGGTAGGACTGACTGACTTCCTGGAGTCTGTGGCTCATCCATATTTTCACACTGCTGCTTTTATCTGGCCAGAATGTCTCTGCTAACTAGAAAATGGGTTTGTTTCATTTTGTTTACAAAGGAAAATAACGGGGTGGGGTGGGGAAAACCACAAAAAAATGCAGCCAGTGCTTACTCTCCGGATGTACTGTCTCTCATGCTGAAAATATATGGAGGAAAAACAAGAGAACAGAAAGATAAGATAGAGAGGACATGAAAACACAAGAGACCCACAGAAGCAGAGCACAGCAAAGCACCATGCAGCAGGGAACGGAGCTCAGCAGCTACAGGCAGAAGCAGTAAGAGCCAAAGTCACCTCTAGCCTGGTGACACAGTCAGGGTTTGGCAGCAGCCAGGTCAGGCCCAGGCATCTGCTCAGTCCTTATCTGCCACTTCTCCACCAGTTTGGCCCACCCTGGTTTGTGCTTTATTCTCAAAGGTCCCTCTGTGCCCCTGAGAGCTCGTCCTGCCCGTGCTGTGCTGGCACCCAGCGGGCTCCTAACTCTGCCTCTCCCCTCTGGCAATCCTGACCTCGCTGTTGCAGCCAAAACCTCGCATTTCTGACAGCTGCAGGAGCTGTGCCTGACCACGGAGGGCTGCTGCATTTGCCTACGGCTGCTTCAGAGCCTCGACCGTGCACAGGTGACGCCGTGCCCAGAGCGGGGCCGCTCGTGCTGGCAGAAGGAAAAAACACCAAGGCAGAAGCAAAGGGTGGTTGGTGTTTCTCCAGGGTCGGTAGAGAATGATTCCTCTGTGGCCCCTGCACCGCCCTGAGAGATGCAAAGGCTTTGCAGGGTGGCAGCTCTGTTTGTTCCCACGTGTCCCCACATCCCCCGTGCTGAGCCAGCGGGGCTGTGGGATGTGGGGAGCACCACCAGAGTGACCCAAAGGACAAAGCTCCTGCTCTCTGTCTCTGGCATCCCTTCCCTCAGGATGTCAGGCCTCCTTTGCCAGTGCTGAGCCATTCCCAGCTCCTCCTGGAAATGGTCAGAGTGCCCCGGTGCCCCTGCAAAGCCCCTTTGCACCTTCCCCCCGCCCAGCCCCAGCCACCCAGGGACAAGAGAAACGGGAGTACTTACATTATACCAACTCTGGCTTTTCTGTAAGGACAAAATAAAAGAGAAGCATTAGTTAGCACAGAGATCTTAGGATCAAAAGGAAAGAGGGACAGAGAAAGCAGGTCCAATCTGGTTTGGATCATTAGTGGAGTGAAAGTGGGATTAAACAGAAGATTTCAATGGATTTCACAGTGTGGTCTAACAGAGTTATCCCAAGTTACAGGAGCAAGGGACAAATCCAGCAGCAGGAGTCTGGAACAGGAAACAGTTCAGGCCAAGGTGTGCATGTCCACATGCACACACACACACAGACATGCTGCCAGCTTGTCTGCAGACCAGCAGTGCCAGCCAGCGACAGAGGAGCTCATCACCATCATCACCATCACCATCATCATCATCACCATCACATCATCATCATCATCACATCATCATCATCATCACCATCACATCATCATCACCATCACATCATCAGCACTTCCAGCCACCTCTTCAGGGGCTTCATTCTTCCACTGGCCAGGTGACAAAACTCTCACTGTCCTGGACAGCCCCCCAAGCACTGCTAAGGGCAGGGACAAAGCTCAGCTCACAAAATACAAATGTCCCAAGAGTATTTTGAATTTCAGAAGGGAGACACATGCACACAGAGCCAGGAAAAGTGCTGTAGAGAATCCCTAGAGAAGCTAAGCAAGGGGAAAAAAAAAATAAAAGGCTAGGATTTTTTTTTTTCAGCATTTCAGTGCACAGTGTTTTGCATCATCTGCATCTGTGATTTTTTTTTTATATATATATATATGTATGTTTTTTCCATCCTTATGGCATTTCAGATGGTTGGAGAGGACAGACCCCACGCCACACTGGAGCACACAAAAGAGCTGGCTCAGCTTGGAAAGTCACTTGGCAGTTTTCAGCTGGAGGTGAGGTTTATCTTCACAGGGAGAGGAAGAAATGAGCTCCCCTCTCCCACTCCAGCCAGGCTGGCTTTCCATCAGCAGGACACTGGGCAGAGCTGCCAGGATAAACAGGAATCCCCTTTTTTGGGGGGGATTTCCCTCAGGGCAGTGAAGCCTGGGGGCACCAGAGCCTTTCCCACAGCTCCAGCTGTGCTGTGCCCCTCTCCCAAACACTTCCCATTGGTGGGAGCTGAGGATAACACTCAAGGACAGAAGCAATATTCCACTGCCCTTCCTCCTTTGAAGCCATCTTGCTCCTGACCTTGGAGGATTTTCCAGGCTTTGCACTCGGTTTGGAATAGGAAGGGAAACATTCTGTGCTGTGCCTCACCGCAGAGGCTGCGGGAGCTTCACTGGGAATTCCCTGGAATATTCACAGGGACACACAAAGTGCCTGTGCCCACCAAGGACACACAGGGTGTTCTGCCACAGGAAAGGAGGAGAAGTGTTAATGAGGTCAGACTGGACCAGAGATTTCGGTGAAGATACAGGGGCTGCTCTGTTCCCACCCCTGGATCTTCTGCTCCAAGTTCCCTGTGGCCACTCCAGCCACAAAACCTCGCTGGATCCCACTCTTGGAGCCATCATTTCTGAAGGATCCTTTGCAGAGCTCCCAGACTCTAATGAAAAGCCCCACACTAACACAGTACACAGGCTAAAATACAAAATTTTTACATTTTTTTCCCCAAATCCTGGGGGAGGGAGATGAGCTGAGGGACTGAACACAGAGTATGGCTCATATCTCACACCCGTTCCTCCAACCAGAGGAATTTCCTCTTACTTCCCACTCCTTTCCATACTTGGCCATACCTGATCCATTCATAAAGGATTGGGTTGAAGTCATCCCTCCCTGCAAGTAGGACGTGGAAAAAAGCCTTATGCAACCCAGTCTACACTAAAAAAAGAACCAGGGTAATTAATCTGAACCGTGCACACAGCACCTTGTCCTCAGGAGCACAGGGCCTGAGATGGAGCGATTTTCCTGCAGATTTGTTTTGCCATCTGTCTGCTTTAATGAGCAAAAGGCGTAGCTCAGAAATTCCTGGGATAAAAAAAAAAAAACCCTCATAATCAAACTATAATTGGCACAAGCACAACAGAGGCACTGCTGTCACTGTGCCTTCTCAATCAGGGTGCCCATGCTGTGGTGTCAGCACAGCCCAGCAGCATTTCATCTCTGCTGCATTCATTGCAGGAACTGTAATTTTTTTTCCCTCCTCACACTTGAATTTCCCTGAATCAAGGGTCCTCTATAAAGGAGCTCAGCAAGTTCTTCTTTAAGCTCTTCCACACAAAAAAATTATAGTGACATCCGTAATTATGCTGATGTCCGTGATTTTAACAACATCCTTAATTATACCAACACTCAGACTTTGTCTTTTGTCTCCACCAAGTTCAACAGACTTGTCCAAAGTCCAAACAACCTCAGCCCTTAAATCTCTCTTCTATTTTATCTTTTCTTTAAGCTCACTGAGAGGGAGATGCGAACTGTGAAAATCAAGAGACAGTAAAATGGAGAGGAGGGGGGAGAAAAAAGAAAAAGAAAAAGGAAAAACATATTCTTACTTTGAGCAGGTTAAGTCTGTCATACTGGAAAAAGAAACCATAAGCATTAGAACTGAAAAGACAAAATAAATAAGTAGCAGAAGGAGGGGGTTGCACACAGACAGGGAGAAGATGGGACTGGCTTGCAGAGACGATGCTACAGGAGCACAGAGCAGAGCTCGTGGTTACAAGGGGCCTGTAACCAAGAAGAGCTTTGGAGGAATGTGAAAAACGGGATATTTTCTCTAAGCCTTTAACTGCTGCCTCTAACCAGTCATGATTTAGTGCCCTGACACCTGTGTGCTCTGCTAGGGAAGGTTACAGCTCTGCAGGGCACACGGGTCGTGCACAGAACACCCCCAGAACTCCACCCAAACGGTTTCTACCTCTCAGCATCACTGGCAGCAGCACCACAACTCACTCCTTGCTGCTCCCAGGGGAACAGAAACCTTTTGCCAAGTGAATGGCGTGCCACAGAGCTCTAGGAGCATCCCTAAATCCCCTTCACACCTGGGATAGCAGAGGCACAGAACCAGAGCTCGGAGCAGATCCCAGAGCCCTCTCTCCTGATCTGTGCACTTGCAAAAGCTGCGCTGCCCACCCGGCTTCTAAATGGCCAGAACTCAAGGAAATTGATGGAATTTATTCCCCAAAGCCTCACCCCAGCCCCAAAGGATCAGAATTCATTGCCTACTACCTCAAGGGGGTTTGTCCCACCCGGTGGGAGGGGTGAATGAGAAGACACAGCCAAACTCTTCTCATCGTGGCACACTGGGAGGACAAGGTGCAACAGTCATAAGCTGCAGTAGGGGAAATTCTACTTGGAGAGGAGGAAAAAGCCTGTTCACAAGAGTGGTTAAGCACTGGAGCAGGGGCCTGGCCAGGCTGTGGGATCTCCAGCCTTGGAGGGCTGCAAAATGTGGCTGGACGAGGGTTTAGACCAAGCTGATTTAACTCTGCTTTGAGCAGGGGCTTGGGTGAGAGACCTCCTGAGATCCCTCCCCACCTAAACTGTTCTACACCCCCCAGGACCTGCACCAAAATTCACATTTTCCCCCTAACTTAATGTTAATCCTCAGCATTCACCATTAGCTACAGGCATTGGGAAGAATCTAAAGGAAACCACTTTTATCCTTGGGCAAGAGCAAAATAGTTAAAAAATACATATTTCATCGTTGGCTACTAGCAAAAAAAAAAAGATGGGTTTTTCCTGGGTTTGGAAAGCTGTCCCAAAAAGCTGACTCAGACCCTGGTCTGTGGCACAGATCAAGGTGGCAAAGGCAGAAAGAGTCCCTTGGGATGCAATTCCAGTGCTTAAAAACTCCTGGCGGAGCACTCCCTCTGACGGCAGCGCTGCAGCACGACAGAACAGCACAGACAAAAGAGGGCAGGGAACTCAAGCAGATCTGTCAGCAATTGTACCGACACAGCAGCAAACTCATGGGCTCAAGCTGTTCCACCTCATTAGCCAGACAGGTTGGGAAACCAAACCATTCTTCCTGCAGGAGATGGGTGGGGAGAGGAGAAGAGGCTGAGAAAGGAGAGTTTAAAATCTTTGCCCTGCAGCTTTTTGTTCCTAACCTCTCCCTGTATGAGCAGGCAACAGAATCATCTGCGTGGGAGAAGCAGGGGGTTTAATGCCTGGAAATTCTTCATTTGTGCCAGAGGAAGCAGCTTGTGGAGCACAGAACAGAGCTCCAGGCTGCACACTCGATGGATCCAGCTCAGAATATTCAGTGTGAGCAGGGCAGGAGGCTCTGACAGGCTGCTGGGGGTCCTGCCCAGGATCCCCTTCCCTCTGAGCTCAGCTGGGCTCCACTTCCCTGCAGTTTCTCCAGGTGCCTCACAGTGGTTGGGCTTTTCCCTCTCAGAGGGGCAGGGGCTGGCTGCAGGCACCTCACAGCACCACTGCACACTCGTTTTACACAGACATCCCTCTGTTCCAGGCTTCTTCCCACCAATCCCTCTCCTAAAACCCTCTGCACCTCCAGCTTCCCACAGCCTGTGTGGTTCACACACCTCTACTCACCAGCAATCCTGTCAGGGCTCTGCTACTCCAGACCTTCCACAGCACTTCTTTCACACCTCACCTTGAGACTTTAGTCCCCCCTTTGTGCTCCTTTGCAGTTATCCCAGCTACAGACACCAAGCACAAGACAATCTGTCTAAAAAAAAGACGTCAAGAAGCTTCCAGCAGACACCAGCAGATCATGCAAGGTCAGGCTGGTCACAAGGACCAGGACCAAGGGAAGACGTGAGCCAGCATTGCTCTCTGAGAACTTGCCTAGAAGGAAACCTGAGGCATCCACTGGGGAAAGGCCAAGACAAGGATTTTGTGGATTTCTGTGAAGCCATCCAAGCCATTCTGCTTTCATCAAGTGGAAATGCCAACAGCCTGGCACTTTCTCCAACAACATCCCACCTGCGTTTGTGATTTTTCCACTCTTCTGAGGGTAGCACAGAGGTGTGAGATCAAATCCCAAATGATCTTATCTCCAATTCAAGCACCCACAGAGGGATCTTCCACTTATCACCTCTCAGAGCGAGCCCATGAATTCTCACAATTCATTTGGGACAGGTCTGTTCTACCAGGTTCAAGCTGGGTTCATTTGAAATCACTGATCTTTAATATTTACATCACACAGGAGAGCGTGCAAGGGCAGTAAGCTGAGATCACTGGCCACAAAAATGCTATCCATCATGAAAAGCAGGGAAGAAGTCATGGAGAACAACTCTCGTTTCTGAAATCAGGGAGGAAGAAGACAGGAGAGAGAAGGGATCATGGTTCTGTCCAACTCCAGCGTCACCCTGAAAATTAAACCTTCTGATCTTGTTTTCATAGTTTCTAGCCACTTTCCCAGGAAAGTAACTATAAACATAGGTGCTTATACATTCCATTAAAGAAATGTCTTTTGATGGACGTCTCCCACGACCAGTGTGGTTGTGGTAACCTGACTATCCAATCCCTGGCCGTTGTGGAGAATCTATAAATACTGAAACCAAGAATAAATCACACTTTTTCCTATCACACACTGAGCTGTGTCTGTGTGAATCATTTCGTGTCCAACACTCCAGAGGATTTCTCCCTGGCAAAGACAGCAGCTCACTGCAAGGGAGAGGACTTAAAGGCTGAAGTGATTTGGAAGCAGCTGAAGGGGTGTGATGAACAGGCCAGTGCTCAGCCTGTGTGAGCAAATATCAGCCAGATGCCAGTGATGTAAGTGAACCCAGCTTCCAGCTACAGGCACGGGGCTGAGCTCTTGCTGACATTCTCGCAGCCACAGCAGGAGAATGCCTGACTGGGGTCAGCACTCAGCACCACAGGGAGGGCTTCTGAGTGATGAGACAGCTCTACAGTGGGGGACAGGAGAGAAAAAAGAAGGCTTACTTTGGAGAGGCGCTTGTGTGACTTAATCGGAGAGAAAGCATGCAGGAATGAAAAGAGAGAAATTAGGGAAAGAAGAAAAATTACCTCGCAGATCAAGAGAAGGAAAACCCACACACCCAACAGAGAGCATTTTACCCCCTCTTCCTTGTGGAAAGCACCAGGAATTGAAGTTAAGCTTTAGTAGTCACCGTGTTGGCAAAAATCTCACTGCCATGACTTTAACTCAGAGCATTTTGAGGGCCAGGGCGGTGCAGCTCCTCTCTGTGGTTCCCCCTTGCCAAGGAGCCCATCTCCCTGTGAGCATCCCCAGCGTGGCTCCGAGCACAGCGTGCCCTGCACCCTGCCTCCCATCCCATCCCATCCCACGGCTTCCTTTTGGGAGCACAGTGCTGGCAACCCCGTGCTGAGGGTGTCACCAGCCCAGGGACGGGGTTTGTAGGTCACTGCATGCACAGGAAGCCAGGCTGACCTCAAGGGCAACCTCAGAACGCCAATGATTCAGCTTGAAAAACCCTTTCCCCCCCTCTTTTGAACTCACAGACTCCCCCCCGTAGTGGTGAGAGATCAGAATGTGGGCCACCGAGTCCTGCTCCCTCTGCTGAGTGGCCACAAAGGGGAGGGGATGAAGATTTCTTGTCTGTGACACAATCCAGCAGTTAATCAGACGAAGAGCTAACAATTCATTTTACACAAGCCATCAGAGTTCTGCCTGTGCAATTATTCAGGCTGAAACATCTCACTTCAAAAATCTGGGCAAACACAAGCGCTCCTGACAGCTAACACATCCCTGATACCAGGGTCAAAGGTTTGTTTGGTACCCCAGGCTCCCGTGTGTGTTTCACCAGGTCCCACTGCTCACACAAAAACCTACAGCCAAACCTGAAACCCTCTTGCCCTGCACAGCAAAGACAAGGCTGTTTCTAATATGGCCCAAAGACACAAAACCTTCCTGGGGAACATATCAGCTACCCTGGGCAAGCCAGTCATAATAACACTGCAGCCATGCAAGGAATGGGCAGAGGGCTGCAAAACTGATTCTGTGACATCTGAACTGATCTCATAGGGCTTGGATGGGACTGGGGAAATGCACAGGCCCTTGACAGGGGAAACCTTATTTATTTCATGCCCCTCCACGATCCAGGTGATAAAAAGTAATTGCACCAGCCGGTTTTCAAGGTCTTTCTCAGAACCACAGAGCCTCCCAAGGAACAGGACCTTGACTACAGAAAGCTGTAGACTCTGTGCTGAAGTCTGACCGAAGCAAAGGATTCTGAGTCAGAAGAACCTTCAGAAATGGGAGGGAAGTGAGACAGAGAAAGAAAAGGCAGAGGACAAAGCTGGCGCAGTGCAGGTCCGGCTCAGCGGCCAGAGCCCTCTGCTCGCCCTCACCTTGGAGTTCTTGGCCCCGCTGCGGCCTGACTGGGAGGAGCAGCTCCGCTGGACGCCCTGCTCCGGCGTGGACGGGGACTTGTCCGAGGAGTGGTCGGAGCCCTTCTCCACCATGGCGTCCCCCGGGGCGTCCTGCGGCGTGGGCGAGCGGGAGCGTTTGCGCAGGATCGGGGAGCAGGCGGGCGTGCTGCGGTTGGAGTTACTGGCAGTACTGCAGAGGGGAGGAAGGGAAAAGAGAACAGGGTTAAACCATCTCCAAACTGAAACTGCTGCACCCCACGGGTCTCCCCAGAGAGCAGCAGGCAGAGCTGCTTCCTCAGCCGCTGCCCCCGGTGGGTTTAGGCAGTTCTCATTCACCAGGGGCAGAGGAACTGCTGGCTGTGCCTTTCTCCACCCGCCCTTCAAACCCTCAGACCACAGAGCGATGCCCACGAGAACAAACTCGTTGACTCCTGTGCGCTCCTGGAGTTTCCAACGATGACCTGAGCTTAGAAAAATCAAATGTGCACTCAAGAAGCAGAGAGGTGTCAGCCTGTCCTCAACACAGCCCCGCTCTGCCCCTCCTGTATTAGCGCAGCTCTCCTCAACAGGATGCACAAAAACGGGGTCACACCTTTCAGAAAACACCCCATCAAAGAGCATCAGAAACGCTGGGGCTCTGGGAGGGGAGTCATGATGACATTCAATGCAGCATTTCCTGTACAGAACCGTCCCTTCCCACACCACCTAGAGCCGGGCATGAAAATGGTTTGCTGTCACCTAAAAGCTTTTGTGATTAAAAAAAAATAATAATAATAAAAATTAAGTTCCTCTTTCACAATGGGAAAAGCAAGGCCTTTCAGAGTTTTACAGAAATTATGAAGGGAATGGAACTTCTCATCCCCTTTCCTCAGCAAATGCCTCAGCACCCAGATCAGCAAGCCAGTAACAGAACAGGAAAGCTCAGATTTCCTCACTGCTCCTTCTCTTTTGATGCCTCTCCTTCCTGCCAGACTCTTTAAAATACCACACACTACACCCATTTTCCCTCTGTCACTCATTTCCTCCAGGAGTCAAATCTATTTCTGACCAGCCCAGACATCCTCAAGGCTTTTCCAGCTGGTGCTGCTCAAGTCAGCAGGTTACAGAGGAGCCTGGCATGCAGGATTGGGTCTGTGCTAACTTCTTCAGGACCTTGTTATCTCATGGGCAACACCAAACAGGCCACATCTGACAGCAGAGGCAGCAGGAAAAGGATGGAGGAATTCCAGCTGCGAGGGACTGAATTAAAGAGGTTGTTGCAATCAGACTCTTAAGGGCTATGATTTAAATTACACACAGCAATCACAACGCTGCACGGCGAGGTACTCCAAATGGATCATTTCCTCCCTGAAAATTAAGAAGAGCTGAGCTGAGGTTTCCTTAATTCCCAGATAAAAAACCACGTCCATCTCTTCTTAGCCCTGAAGATTCCAAAGCCATTTTACAAGCGTGAGTTCGATGTGAGCAGCCTGTGTCACGCGCTCCTCCAGCAGTTACCGGGTTTGGGTTGGTTTGGTTTTGGATGAACCGGTCTCCTAAATTATCCTTTATTTGCTCACTGCTTGTGTCAATGCACAAGTGACGAAAGTTTCCCTGGACAGCCTGCAGGAAGCACAGAGCCAAGCTGCTTATGCAAACAGGGCCAGAATCAGATTTCCTAGGAGCTGGCACCGGGCAGGAGCAGCAGCAAGGAGCTTCACAGGAGCCCCTGAGAAGATGCTTTCACCACTCTAAAGTGTGGAATTTCATACAGATCATGAACAGGCTTGGGAAAATGGGTTTGCAAAATGTTCTGTAGGCAGAGAGCTGGATTAAATTAAACTCTGCTCTGCTACCTATTTCTATTCAGTAGGATGAGAAATATAGTTATAGACCAATAAAAACCTGTTCAAATATCACCTAAACCCCAAGGCAGCTCCGTGCAAAGACAGGCAGAGCAATTCCCACTTGGCTTGGGGTTCTTCACAAGGAGAAATGGCACATCCCCAGGTGAAATATTGTCACATCACCTTGTCCTGTGCCCTCCCTTTCCCTGGACAAGGCACAGGAATGTTGAATGTTAAACCAGTGCAGCAAGAACTGTAACAATATTCAAGATTTAATCCCCCCAAATAATAATTGAAGCAAAACACAAATTAAAAAAATGATCTGAACCATTCTCCCAGCAGCAGTTTAGGTAAAACATGAAGTAAAATTATCAGGGATTTCTTAGTTTATTGAAGTATTAAAAAGCACCAGGCTCCTCCATAGATTTTCAGCTGATCAGTAAAATTGGGTGTTTCACCTTGTCTGTGCTCCTGCTGCTCCTTCTCCTGCTAAACTCAATTTTAGCAGCCCAGCAGAGCTGTATTAGTGACTCCAAGTTCATCAGCAGTGGTCCCAGAGACAGACATGGTTCTCAATTGTCATTTTTACAGACCACAGAAAAAGTAACTTCTAGTTAAAACCTCAGAATTCTGAGGCTGTGCTGGTCCTGCTTGTCCCCAGCGTGCAACATAAGCTGATTTATGTGAGAGGTCCCCAAAAACACAAGGCAAGAACTTGAAGCCCCTGTCCCTGCCCAGCACTAAATCTGAACAGATGTACGAGTTTTCCCTCTACAGCTCTACAAAACCTGAGTTTACCATGCCCAACCTCCGTCTCATTTTCAGTTTGTGTGAATCCACAGTTTCACTTTGAGCTTGAGTTTAGAGCAGCTCTGTAAAGACCAAGCCAAATTCAGCGCAGGCTCTGTCTGCTTTCAGTTTGCAGTTGTGGGATTTTGCTGCTGCTCAATTAAAGCTCAGCATGAGCAGCTTGAAAGCAGGGTACAGCTGCCTTCACGTGCAGGTGAAACTCAAGATGAAAAATGCTGGAAGGTTTGGTGCTATTTTACTCTTTTTAAGGTCAGACCAAGCTCCTCAAGGTGGGTTTTTCAAGACCTAGCACTGCAGCTGCACAGGAGCAGCATAAGCACTGACTTGCTTACAGCTGGTCATTTTATTTTTGCCCAGCTCACACTGCCATAGCCACAACTTTCGGTGCCAGCTCTGCCAAGCACAACCTTGGGCAGATTCTGCCCTTCAAGCTCGTATTTTAGTTAAAAAAAAATTAAATCCATCCACATGTATCGTGGTAGGCGTGTGTGGATTCTCACCTTTGCAGAAATAAGGGGGGAAAATAACATCAAGGGCTCCTTCTTTGGCTCTCCCTGAATGGCACAAATACGAAACCCAGGAGGGCTGAATTCCCCTCCTACTCCCTGATGACTGGGAAAAGCTGAATATTTCTCACACAAAGGGCTCCTGAGATGGAGAAAATGACGTGTGTGTTAATCAGTGACAGCGAGGATGGGCACAGAGAGCACAGGGCTGCCCCGAGCCCCTCCAGACTCTCCCTGCTCCTGCTCATTCCCTGCACTTTGAATCCAGCCCAAGGCACAGCCATGACGAACGCTTTCTGCAGTTGCCATGGCGACCACGGCCTGCAATTGAACCAGGAATCAACGCCTGAAATGCCAAAACGGCTTGACCCACTTTGAAATAAAAATAATTGTAATAAATAACGCTTTAGAGAGCTAATTGCCCAGAGCGCATTCAGGGCCTGGCATCCCCCTGCAGAGGAGCCTTCAGCAGATGAGACAGATGAAGTGAGGGACAGAACACAAACAAGCCCACCTAAGCAGCAGCCCCCTTGCTCTGAGGTGAAAACCCCTTCATTTGAAAGCCCAAAAGGCTGAGTTTGTCTCCTTGGTTTATGTCCTTGCTGTCTCTAAAGGAAAAACCTCATCAAAATACCATCAGCAAGCGTGGTGTGGATGGGAAGGGGCCAAAACTCTGCTCAGACGTGGAGGAAAAGCATCAGTACCTGCAGCAGTGTAGCAAAGAATTTGTAGCCTGCCAGAATCTTGAAGCTGGAGAGGTTTTTTCAGCAGAAATTGTAGTGATAGGACAAGGAGTAAGAGATTCAGACTGAAAGAGGGGGAATTTAGGTTGGATAAATGGAATAAATTCTGTCCTGTGAGGGTGGGGACGCTGTGGCAGAGGGTGCCCAGAGAAGCTGTGGCTGCTCCATTCCTGGAATTCCAAGGACAAGGCTTGGAACAACCTGGGATAGTGGAAGGAATCCCTGTCCATGGGACAGATGATGTTTAAGGGCCCAACCATTGTGGGATTCTACAAGCTTTCCTTCAGAAAAGAACATCTGGCAATGCATGCACCAGCCCCTGGTCATACCCTGCCCTGAGACACCAGGCAAAGACACAGAAAGGCCAAATTTCCTCCTCCAACAGAGTATTTCCTGTAAGGATCTGAACCAGGTGATGAACAGAGCTTCACCAAGCAGTCACTTTTGGGAAAGGCATTCCACAAGTTAAGCTTGGTGTTCTTAAAACTATAAAGAAACTCTACAACGCTTTCATGGAGAACTCAACAAGAAACCTGACTTTGCTGCACTCTGTTAAATGAATTCTGCAGGAATGACACCCAAGTAGTCCTGAAGTGACACAGAAGTCTGTCCATCCCACAGATCTGCAATCGCAGACGTCCCTGGGACTGACACAAGCACCCTGCAGCAGTTCTTCCCCAAATCACAGGTACCCCAAGAGCCAGCAGCCACCTGCAGCATTGTCACAGCACCTGTGACACAAAAAACACAGCAAATCCCTCTGCGTCTGCCACTTGCAGGAGATGGATTAGAATTCAGCCAGGAGTAGGAAAAGCACCAAAGAATTTTGCAACTAGAGCAGCTCGGCTAAACGAGCAGCAGCCTCAGGTACACAGCACTCACCACATCCGCTGTGACCACCACCAGCTTCTCAGGGGGCAGAAAAACACCAGCAGCACCATTCCCTGCAGTGCATCTCTCAGCCCTTTGGATCTCCTCAAGGAAGCCCTGATCTGGAAAGCTTAAAGGCTTCCAAGTCCTCCCTCAGTTCTCAAAAGAATTTGCTTTCCAAGAGTTATCCTGCAATTACTCACTTCTGCCTGCAGCACTGACCTGGTAAGGTGTTCTTCCAGGCCCAGAATTGGGGTTTGCTCTGCAGTTTGAGCTGAATGCTGGATGTGCTGAGCAGGATGTCCCCAAACCAGCAAAGATGCACACATTGAAGCACATATTGAACTCTCTCTGTCTGAAATCTATGGTCTGTGCAAAGGCGGGCCCGTGCCTACACTTTCCTGCACAAGACCAGAGGAGATCCCGGAGGACAAC